CATTTTCAATGCCTCCTGAAAAAGGGGATGGGGGGTCAGAAAGAGACACAAACCAACATTTGCCGAAAAAGCAAGCACCACTAACTGGGCATCATCCCAGCAATATTAATTTCAGGCTGCATTCAGCTACACGTCAAACCTTGACACCCAGTGGCTTTAGGCACCCTGAGTCGTAGTAGACTAGCATAAGAAGGGTAAAGGGGTCTTCATCTTGTTTTATTTCAGGCTCCCAGTGCCCTCTGGTGGTCCTCAGAGCAGACTTGAGTATGGTCTTCTTATTTCTTCCTCAGCTAGTCTCGCTATTAATAGCTTAGTGCCGCTCCAGCTCCCATTGTTATTCCTGCCTGGCTGCATGCTGCGTAAAGGATGTCACATGTTTATCAGACCAGAAATATTGTGCATCTCTACTTTGGGAGAATGAACTTTGAGAGAAAGCCTCTTCTGAATCCCGATGTCCTCCTCTTGTATTCTCTAACTTTCCTTTTCTTTGTCAATCTCTGTGACCTTTCCTCTGTCCCCCTATGATGGTGGTTCTTCAAAAGCTCAATTATCGAGGCCAAAGGTAAACAGCCAGTGCAATGCTCAACAGTTTGTCCTGATTCAGTTACACATGTGAAATGTGACTTGCTGTTGGAGCCTTTGAAAACTGATGAACTGTATTAATTCATTCAGCAGAGTGGAGAGGTTGGCCTCTGTTGCTCCAGCCCCAAATGTTTTCTAAAAAGCCCCAAATCTTGTAGGTTTTTAATATAACTCCAACTTTGTGTAATTTCCCCTGTGTTTCATGTTTAATTCAGTCGTGTCATCTCAGTAAGAAAGCTTAGCTAGCAAGCTAATTAGCTTATGGACTACGGACATAATGAAGCTAAATATTCATTCTGTGAACTTCACCCCAGCATAGTATAACAAAAATAGGTTTCCGGATTAGTAATGCTGTTTTATGCCAAATTCCTACCCTGTGTCATGTAACTTAAAAATAATAACATCAGACAATTTTTGCCTCTTTTTGGGTGGTGGGAGTGAAAATTAGTCACTCTCAACATTTGTTATGTTCTGGTTTCAGAATGATGAAGACAGCTGGAGAACAATTAGATACAAAGATGGCTCTACGGGATGATTTTGTAACTGTCATGTTTTTCCTAAATGTTACAGTACAGTTTTAGGGATTCTATTAAATCAGCTAGCTTGGAGAATAGTGCATATAGCTGCCATAAATGGGAAACAATCTCAGCACACAGATCTTTACACATCCTGTACAGGTGACATTTCTTCTTATGCAGAAAGATGCTGATTGATTAGTTAAATCACACACACACACACACACACACACACACACACACACACACACACACACACACACACACACACACACACACACACACAAAAGTTGTAGAGTCAGCTTTGTTTAACACCTCAAAGGATTTGGATAAGTAACCGTCATTGAATCTGTATAATTGGGACGCTATGTCATTTAAATTCAACAAGCCCAGTTGCCCTGATGTGTCACTTTACCCAGATGTCAAACTCATGAGCCACTGTGCACATCAGCAGTATGTCACTGACAGGAGAGCAGTGCTCACTGACTTTGTTTCGCGAGTTTCAATTTATTTATTTTTTTTAATCAAAGTGGTTGAACAGGGAGTCATAAAGGCAACAGTGACTGCAGGTGACATGCACTTTTAAAAAACAATCTGAAAAAATCTGATCCAAATACGGTCTTTTTAATACAGTTGACAAAAGTAATAAAATGAATGAAATGAAATAGAATGAAAAAAGGTTTGTTTTATCTGCGTTGTGAACATGCAATACAGTAAGCAATAAATCAACTCATTGCAGACTGGAGAAACTGAGCCACCGTTGGTCCATAGCTTTATATCTGTCAAAAACTATAGCAAATGTCATGTGTTAAATGGATGGTTTCAACCACTGTTTTTAAACTGTTTAACAGATTTATTTTGGAATTGTGTTAAGTTGAGTGTTTTATTGTGACTAAGCTCTGATCTTTTGTGGAGTAAAGTGCTCATTGTTAACAATGTTTCTGAAGCTGATGTTGTTACCCATGTTTGTAGACAGTGCCATCATCAGTGCAGTGATTATATGGTGTGTGAATGCACTCTACGGGCCATTTGAGGAATTGCAACTGGCAGCCTTGTGGTGCAATTACTGTAGCACGACAATCATTTTGCTTTGTAGAGGTCACATTTAGGCCTTTTACACTTCAGGAACGATCCATAACTTGACATGTAGCCAGTGCCATGTGTTCTTTGGATTGTTATCTTTACTTTATTCTATCTGATACAATGTCCTGACCAATAATTAACAACATTATTATGATACAGTGAGAAATACACAGTATGTTGTGTCAGTGATGGAGCAGAGCTTGGCTGCTCTGTGACAGATAAAGAGGCACACCACAGACTCCTTCCTTGGGATAGGTTGCAGAAAAATGAATGCACCAAAAATCTTAACAACAGATATTGACAAATAACACTACATAAATGTAGAAAAAGTCCTCTCATGTTTTTAAATCTTGAATCATGGTAGGAGATAACCTGCCCTCTGCACACATGCACAGAAACACAATACTAAAACATCTAGCAAAACAAATTTGCATATCTTTATATTGATCTGTAGTTTTTTATATTTAAATCATAATTACATTTGTTAAATAATTGAAACTGTAAAGTTTTAAAAATGTATTCCTGTGTAATCACCAGAGATGATTTTAAAAATATGACATACCTCTGCTGCCCTCCCAAACTTAAGGCTTCATTGCCTTGAGGCCATTTCAATACAATATCAATGATTAGACTTTATTTCACCAACATCACTGAGAATCAAGGAAGACAAATAACTCATGTTTTTAGATGTCTGATGTTGTAATTTTTTTATTTCAACACCAATCCAGTCAAGTTTTCTTATTTTAAATTTTTTTTCTGTACATCACAGTTCCTCAACATCATGCTGTTTCAACACATTTCCCCTGCTGACTCAATGATAAATCTAACTCAATAAAAGGCTCCACCTTTTGCCAGTGTAAATTATGACCATATCTCTGTCTTACAAAGTCATCTATACCTTAGCAGGCAAAAATCTAAGTACAACTGAGTATGTAATTAAATAATCACTAAAAGTTTAAGTTAGAAAGTGCATGATAATAATACTTGCAGAAGCCTTTTGTTAATGCTATGTTAGGGTAGTTATTACCGTACCTCTGTTGGTATAATAATATGGTTATTCATGGATGCCTATTTGCCGTGTAATGGGAGATTGGCCCAAGAACAGCACAGACTGAGACCACGTTGGAAGTTCGACAGTTTTTGAAGCAGGGTCGTAAAATAAAAAGATCAAAGAAACGGTCTGACTCTCTAGTTGGTCTCCGGAGGGAATCCAGCAAACTGGAGACAGACGGGGTGCAGGCGGGGTCGGGACGAGGCGTCGGTTACCTGGGCAGGGACCACGAAGAGGGGGCAAGGAAAAAGAGGGGAAAAAAAGGGCCATCGGGCTTTGCGTTAAAGCAATCTGGAGGAGAGGTGTTTAACGGTGGGGACACGGTGGGTGGTTGGTGGAGTGCGGGAACGGAAGCGAGTCCTGACTGTGAGGTGTGATGAAAGTTTTACCAATATTGTTAATGTTGTTAATTGCCTCACCTCTGCATGGTGCAGCAGTCTATATTAAAAAGTGAACAAATTAAACAACAAACTGAGCAAGAAAGTAAGGAAGACTTCTTCAATAACACATTTTAAGTGGATTAACAAATTATTGTTAATTATATACACAATAGCATACAATCATACAGTATAATTATTTACATGTTCATTTTCTTTTCAAGTCGTTTTTTTCATCTTTTCTCCCACATGTTGTGATGGTTGGATGGTTCTCCATTAATTGCACATTTTCTGGCTGTCAGGTGTCAGAGGAGCAGTAAACTAGGGCCATGCCTGGATCAGGGGATGCAGGGTACCATCCTGCAGCTGGGCCTGGAAGGAAAATCCTCTCCACCTGCATGCCTCCCTATCATCCCTCCTGTCTGTCTTCCTGCCTCTCTTCCAACTAGCTTGCCTGCCTGCTTAATTGCCCCGTGGCTGCCTTCCTGCCAGCCAACCTAACCGACTATCTGATTACTTACCAATCTGCCTACCTACTTACTTACACCAGACTCAAGGGCCAGTCCTCAAGGTTACGAAAGCTGCACAGTATCGAACACAGCTCCTGCTTGTGGAGAGCTCTTCATACCTTTCTGCCTCCACTGCGGTAGGTTTTCTGTACTGCTCCTTGGCCTCTTAGCAGTAACTTGCTGGCAATTCCTCTTTGTGGAGGAGCAGGGGCCAGAAGTTGATGAAATTGGATCTCCAGAGCTCTCTGCCTCTTTGAGGTCTCCCTCACAAAACCTCCTTGGCTTTTTCGTACTTACGTACATGCTCCCAGCGGTCTTTGCTCCTTTTTGTGGAGGAGTTGAAGCCAGTTGAGAGAGCTGACTCTTCAGAGCTACTTCCCTCATCAAACAACTTTGTGCGCATCATGAATACCAGAAAGCGTAGTTTCTTATGAAATGTTCTGTAAATTCTATCTGCCCTTGAAACCCTGTTTAGGGCACTGTGTTAATTTGGGATGCTGTATTAATATTTGGGGTGTATTACATAATATTTAAGATACTGTATATTTTTCTCTGCAGAAAAGCCATTCTGCTGTCCTCTCCTGCAATATAAATATTGCAGTATTGGTTTTACTTTATTTATTTGATTTCATTTATTTATTTGTATTATTTATTTATAAAGCCCGTCAGTTGCTATAAAAATAAGGAGCCTTTTTATAAACACACACACACACACACACACACACACACACACACACACACACACACACACACACTTTACACTTTACACTTAACTCAACTATCAAACTGAGTTATTGTCACTATATCATAATAATAAGAAAAGCTGGTGCTGGATGCTATACGCTCGTGTACACTAGGTGGCAGTATGCACCTCAGCTTTCTATTGGGTTGCGACCTACTGACAGGACGAAGAAGAGTTCATGCCGATATTAAGTAAGAGAAGTCAGATGAGGTGAGTGTTTACATCTTCGTTTCATCAGACATTTCAACAAAACAGTGTCAACTTTATCCAGATATAAGAATTGCGTTGACGTGGTTCATGGAACTGTTACACGACGTGCAGCAAAGAAATGAATGGCTGCAAGACAACCTGCGATATTTTGTTGTAGCCTGTAGCCTAGCATTACAAATCACCTCAAATACATAACAACGTCGGGGTTTTTTAAACGCTGTATTTCAACTTATAGTTTAACGCTATGTGCTTTGGCTAGAACAATGGTATTTGTAGGTTTTGCTATTAAACTGTGGCATGTTATTAACTTAAGTTAATTGTGCATGCCACTAGGAGGGATGAACACAGCCCTGTTGTTTATAATGCAGGGGGAAAGGAAAGGTGAGCAGTGTCAAGGCTTCAGACAAAGCTGCTAAAAACAATAGTTAACATGTGATCTTGTAACTGATCTATAAGAGACACACCAGCCTCAGAGAGCATAGTCCACAAAGAGATGTACTGTCAATTCAAATGGTTTTAGTGGCATGACGTAACACTGTACGTATTGCCAAAGCAAGTGTTTGGAATTAATAATAATAATAATAATAATAATAATAATAATAAAGGAAAATAATATTTACAATAAATTAATTATAATCTATACTGTTGGTAATACTGTAACTATGATTGACACAATCACAGTCACAATCAATCAATCAATCTGAGTCAATAAGTAATTAATTACAATCAATCAGTTTGTGTCAACCAAAAATGTCATTAAAACAGCAGTAAAGTAACAGGCTACAGTTAGAACAAGTAGTCTGTTGTCAATATAACAGTAATAACAAATTATTAAATATAATATATATATAATATTAAAATATATTAAAATTAAAATAAAATAGATAAAACTGTAAACGTGTGTGTATATATGTGTGTGTGTGTGTGTGTGTATATATATATATATAATTTCTATATATATCTATATATATATATATATAAAAAAAAAAACAAAAAAAACCTAAAACAATCAATTATTTTAGACATTTGTCTGAGTTTCCACTGGATGTCCTCAGTTCGTGGCATGAGGAGACATATTTTGCTGCAATAATTTGACTTTTTGGCGTTTCTCCCAGTAAATAGGGGAGTTTCTGTGTGTCTGATAATAATTTGAGTTCGGGGTATATTTGGGAAATGTTTGCAAATTGTTTTTTCTCTTAAAGTTTTGAATTTAGTGCATGAGGTTAGAAAGTGCAGCTCTGTCTCTACCTGTCCTCTGTCACACTGGGAGCAGAGTCTCTCCTCTTCTGGTAGCCGGTGTGCTTTTCTCTATTGAATAAGTATGGTATATATTATGTGGTCTACTTGTAGAGACATGATTCAGAGAAACAATACAATATATGGAGACAGAAAAAAAGGTTTTTGTGTTTAACTCATAATTTCCAATTAGAATACTTAGTACTTTTGACCAAGATGCCATAAACAACTATGCAGCAGCTTTTACACTGACCTAATCTGTTTCTGTTCTCCTTTTTTCCAGGAGCCTTGATCTAATGGAGAACTGAGAGGAGTTTTTACATCATGGAGTCTGTGGTTGACTTCCTAAATGTATTCCACATCAGGGCCAGTGGATTGTCTGTGACACTCAGCCTCTTCCTCATCTCTCTGGGTCTTCTCTACTGGTGCGTACATGCTTTGTGTATTCAGAACACTCCTTATTAATCAGATCTGATGTTTGCAGCTTTGCATGTTGGAATTTCTGATCTGCATTTTATGTGGAAGCTCTTTAAGGCAGCGACAGAATAAACTAACCGGAGTTTGATGCTGCCGTCTTGTGTGCTCCAACGAAAAAGCAGTCACCTAACAAATGCACATAGTGGGCTGAATATTTGGGGAAATGTTTTTTAATTGCTTCACTTTGCTTTTTTTCCCCTTTTAATTCATGACTCATCAACACAAATCTGTGCTCTGTCTTCTAGGTATTCAATTTACCCTTATTCAGTCCTTTCGCGATGCGGCATCAAACATCCAAAGCCAATACCTTTCTTGGGCAACATATTCATGTTTCGTCAGGTAAGATATTGCAGCATTTTCAGTGAAACTGAGACTTAGCCTTCATTCTCTTACCTTTTTCCAAAATCTGTTTGGACTATGAGACATTTTACCCTCTGACGGTGTAAAAAAATCTTCCTTCCAACATATCACTACATTTTATCAGATTTCTGCATTGAAGAGCACTTAAGAGCAGAAATATTTGATGCACCAAATAACCCCTCAAATAGGTTAATGTATAAATAATTACATTTTGTTTTGTTTCATCTCAACATTTGGTTTGCTATCGTGACGAGGTCATGTTTCACTGAGGGGATTATAATTGTACTACTTGATGGTTTGCAGACTTTTCGGTTGGGCTCTGCTCAGTTGTTCAGGCAAGATGTCCCCTGTAGCTCCCACTTTTTCAAGCAGGTTTAAGAATCTTAAAATGAGTCAGGTCACTCTAGTAGTATCCAGAAAACAAGCAGGATTCAGCATCTCTCCTTGAGGAGTGTTAGCTTACATTGAAAATCTTGAGTCAAATAAAATCGAAGATCTAACTTGCAAGGGCTGATTATTTCATCTGCTGAATTTATATTTTACTCCACTCTAAATTACGATTGAAAGTAAATTAATATGCACAATCTTGGTGTAGAAGTTTATATGTTTTTATATTTTTTGCATCATTTGTGAAGCTGTGTCACTGTCGCTTTTCATTCATGTTCTCTTACTCATTATTGAACAAAGGTGCATAACTGTAGTTGCCAGTTAGGCAAAATAAACTAAACTCAAAACCTGTGATCTGGGTTCTGATCTTATCTGAATATGTGGAATCGTTGAACATCAAAGAGATCTGAAAGTTGTGTGAGTGAAGTGACAACATGGAAAGCTCAGGCTGCAAGAGACTGTGTTGCTGATCATTCCTGTGTGCTCGTAGTATACAGAATATCTATATACATCTAATTGAAAGTGCTGAACGGAGACCTTCATCATTAGGATGTTTCAGGCATTTGCTCAGGAAAATAAAACCTAAAAGCTTCTCAACCCATTTGTCTCAGGAACAATTGCAGCCATTATGATAATATTTCAATTAATCAGTAAGCCCTGATGCGAAGTTCATTTCTTTCTTTCCCCTCGTTGTGGCTTTTAATTTTGGTCAGGGATTATAGGTGAGTTTCAGTGCTGGTCCTTTTATTAGGCTGTCAGTTGACCGTTTGCAGATCCCATGGGGCTGATAAGCTGTCACAGAAGGCAGCAGCCCAAGTCTGTCTCCAACAAGGAGTCATTTCATTCTTAAGAAAAGCTTCTCTGTCTGGGTCCTTTCTTGTGTCGTGTTATTTTTAGTCTGTTCTGATGTTGTTCTTTATCTTTCTTTTTAGGGTTTTTTCAGTCCTATTAATGAGCTCATAAAGACACATGGGAGAGTCTGTGGGTAAGTAGAACAAATACAATCAACATCAGCATTTGACATTGTAAAATAAACATTACATTGTTGTTTGATTTGACTGAGACTCTACTTGGTATATTTTAGGTATTATTTGGGCCGCAGACCGGTAGTGGTGGTGGCAGACCCTGACATGCTGAGACAAGTGATGGTGAGGGACTTCAGCAGCTTCCCAAACAGAATGGTGAGATCATTAACCAAAGCACGCACATGCACACTATGTGATTCTAACATAAGCTTCTATGATTTTATATGGTGATATAATCATAACAGATTGTTGTGCCTGTACTCTGCTGTCTCTCTGCAGACTGTTCGCTTTGCCACCAAGCCAATGACGGAGTGTCTGCTCATGTTGAGGAATGAACGTTGGAAGAGAGTGCGGAGCATCCTGACCCCATCATTCAGCGCTTCCAAGATGAAAGAGGTGAGATATGAACGTGCACACCGATCCGGCGCCAATTAGAATCAGCTGATATTTATCACAAAATCTGCCAGTTAGCAAAGCTGATCATAAATGGCTTCATGATACACCTCACAGACATCTGAGGGAAAATGTTTTTGTCTGTCACAGATTAAAGCTAAGAAGTTTGGACAGACAGATAACTAACTGTATTCTTCATGTCACATGTTCATCTTTTATTTACATCTTAAATCTGTTACTGTACATCCATTCAGTTTGTGTATTTATTGGTGTTTTGATCTACAAAGGCTTTTTCAGTGTAAGAGTGCAAATGTGCTTTTTATATTGGTGGAACCACACCGACCTTCTCCTAATTTCTGGGGTATTTATGGACTATTTTCCTGTAAAAGCAATGTTTGCAGGACCGCTTGATGTATGTCTTCTCTTTCCCATAAAGTCTCAGCAACTGCGTGTCATTGTCTTTTATATTTTCCTGTAGATGGTACCGCTCATCAACACAGCCACCGATGCCCTGATGAACAACTTGAATGTTTACGCTGAGTCAGGAGAGGCCTTCGACATCCACAAGTAATCACACATGCAGTGAACAGAGGCTGTTAGAATTATGGTGTCTTTTTCCTGTCCTCCCTCATATTGATGACTTCATGTTTTTGCAGGTGTTTTGGCTGCTTCACCATGGACGTTATCGCCAGTGTGGCATTCGCAACTCAGGTGGACTCTCAGAACAACCCAGATGACCCGTTTGTCCGCCATGCGCAGATGTTCTTCTCCTTCTCTTTCTTCAGGCCCATCATGCTGTTTTTCAGTCAGTCCTATCTGTATTCTTATTTATGTACATGAATTATTACATTTGAGACTTTTACATGGGACGTTTATAGTAGAGTGTAGAGTATTGATGAAGCATAGACCCTACACTGGAGGGTTTACTATCCTCTGTTACAAAGATTGAAGTGGAGAGTATGTAAGTATTTGTGGTTCCCATAGAACTCAACATAGAAGTAGAGTTCCACCAACACATTTGGTTTGTGTTTCCAGTTGCTTTTCCATTCATCATGGCTCCTCTGGCGGGGCTAATCCCCAACAAAAGACGAGACCAGATGAATCAGTTCTTCATCAACAGCATTCAGAAGATCATCCAGCAGAGAGAGGAACAGCCTCCTGAACAGGTAAACCTCATGGACACTTAATAATCTTAAATACAGTGCAACTTAATTTCGGATAAATTGTTTTTTAAAATGATTATTGATTTTCATGTAGAGGCGTCGAGACTTCCTTCAGCTTATGTTGGATGCACGAACCAGCAAAGAGAGTGTTTCTTTGGAACACTTTGATTCAGCAAACCCATCTGGTGTGACAGATCACAGGAACCAGCAGACACGACCGCCAGCCTCCGATCAGGAGCACCCACAAGAGCCCCCCACCAGGCGTCCACAGAAAAAGATGATAACTGAAGATGAGATCGTGGGGCAGGCTTTTGTCTTTCTTCTGGCAGGCTACGAGACCAGCAGCAACACGTTGGCCTTCACCTGCTACCTCCTAGCCATCCATCCTGAATGCCAAGTCAAAGTACAGGAAGAGGTGGATGATTTCTTTACCCGACATGTGAGTGCTGATCTCAAGTTCTTCAGTTTGTGACGACATTCAGTACAATAACAAGACAAATTCAGTGTACACAGTAAAGTCTGAAACTGACTTATGCAGAATCACTTTAATAATTGTCCCTGTTTTCCCTTTTGTTGTAGGAGTCACCAGATTACACAAATGTCCACGAGCTGAAATATTTAGACATGGTTATAAGTGAAGCCTTGCGCCTCTATCCCCCCGGATTCAGGTAAATTTAGAACATAAATGAAGATAAATTTGAAATTTTTACTAGATGTAATACAATCACAATCCGTCATAAAGTTAACTTATTTCTGTAAATACATACACTGTGTAAAAAAGGATACATTAGTTTAAGATTTAACTTTATAAATCCCCTATATATTCCCCTATGATAAATTCTTTTGAAGTCTTTAAAACCTGCATCCATGGCATTTTACCCTATAAAGGTTTGCGAGAGACATCGATAATGACTGTGTGGTGAACGGCCAGTTCCTCCCTAAAGGAGCGACGCTGGAGATCCCAGCAGGCTTCCTCCACTATGACCCAGAGCACTGGCCAGAGCCTGAGAAGTTCATTCCTGAGCGGTAGGAGGCTGTTCTTACAGCAAATAAGCAAAACTGTAGTGCTTGAACATTGTGCTTCATTATCATCTAAAAGAGGATGTAGATTGCTTAACTGTATTTGCTGACAAATGTATGAAAAATTACAGATTACTTTGATTAATCACCACCTGCAACTAACTGATGAATCAAATGTAGTCCCTGCATCGCAATAAAGCTAAATTAAATACACTATTTTGATTGACTGCTGCTTTTAATTCACTCAAAAATGTAACCTGTGGTTGATCTCCAGATTCACACCAGAAGCCAAGGCCAGTCGACATCCATTTGTATACCTGCCGTTCGGGGCCGGTCCCCGTAACTGCGTGGGAATGAGGCTCGCCCAACTGGAAATCAAAATGGCTCTAGTGTGTCTGTTCCGCAGGTTCAGCATTGTAGCGTGCACTGAGACCAAGGTGGGCTGGAGACTTTAAACACTAAAGAAACTAAAAAGTATTCTAGTCTTAGAAAGGATTAATACACACAGAAGACACATTCACACACTACACATGTATTTAAAAAAGACCAGACGGCCACATTTAGTAGCTGCTCAGGTGAAAATGGAAAAATACCTCATGAGAATCAGTCCTACTGTGAAAGTAATTGTGTCTGCATTTAGACGTAATCATCATCATACACTCACTGGTTAAATTATCATAAAATATTGAAGCATCTGTATGAATAATTCCAACAAAAATAATAATTTATATCAAGATTGTATCAAGCCTCACAAGAGATCAGAGAGTGTTATCAACTGCAGTGTAGTCACAGTTGTTATGTTCACTCAGATCTTTTTCACAGCAGCCATTTTGACATGAAGTAGAAGGGTAAACACAGACATTACCAATGATACTAATTAAAGTTCCATTCCCTTCAGCTCAAACAGAGTCAGGGTGCAGCTATTGTGCATATTGGTCTGTTTTAGTTGCTTTGGGATTTTACCAACATATGACAGTAGAAAGAGACAAATTACTATCCAGAGAACAAGTATATAGCTCCTTCGTCCATTTTTGTTTCGGTGGATCAAGTTTCCTTCTTCCGTGTTTGCATCACCTCATATCTTAATTGGACTATCCATATTGATGTAATGTTTTATTAGACATTTGAGATTGCTGTAATTTGCAAAAATAAACCCCTGGAACTGATGATGTAACAGTCAGAATTCAGTATACACCTGTCACCTATTTACATATGTGTTATGAATGTAATCCTATATTTAAAGAAACGAACACGTATGGACGATGTTCCTTTTACATATGGTATTCTTTTCTTTGGCAGGTTCCTCTCGAGTTGAAGTCGTCGAGCACTCTAGGACCCAAGAACGGCATATTTGTGAAAATTCAAAGAAGAGACATTGGGGAAGTGAATTCTCCACCAGGCAATTAGAAAGTCACCGTTCATCTTCTTGCATAGTAGAAAAATTCTTTGACTTTCTGCAGGTCCGTGTGTGTGTGTGTGTGTGTGTGTGTGTGTGTGTGTGTGTGTGTGTGTGTGTGTGTGTGTGTGTGTGTGTGTGTGTGTGTGTGTGTGTGTGTGTGTGGGTGTGTGTGTGTGTGAGAGCTGTTTTGTGGATATGTTTCTTTACCTTTAAATATTCCCAAAGGTAACATGATTGAGTTAATAAGTTACCATACGCTGTACAGCTCCATCAAATATCTCATCTAGTGCCTTTTCTTTTTGGGGACAGAACTAGAAGGTGGGCTGAAGCTGAGACATAGCGTTGCTGTACTATAATAAAACTGAGTGGGCCAATTGACCCTTCCTAAGGCTTTTGGAACTTTCTCCTTCCCTGTACTTCGATATGCGTTAGGCTGGTCCATGTTGAAAAGACAACCAAAACCCTAGTTAATTAGACAGCTAGCTAACTTGCAAACGACGTAGGAAGAGTCACCTGTCCAATCAGACGCTGTGGAGAACACAGTTTATGTCCCTCTGAACTCTCCGCTGATGGTTTCACCAAATTTTTGATGAGAAATAATAATAGGGAGACGGAGCTGGAGCACAAGTGAATAAAGAGAGAAGAGCGTATAGAGGAATAGAAGTGTGCTCTACTTAAAGGTCCAGTGTGTAACATCTCGGAGAATCTATTGGCAAAAATAAAATATAATATTCATCGGTGTGTTTTCATTAATGAATAATCACCTGAATATAGGAATTGTTGTGTTTTCATTACCTTAGAATGAGTTTTTTTATCTAAAGGGTCACCATCCATGGAATACACAATGAAGTGTGCGGCCACTGTAGTTGCTCCTACACACTTCGCAGCCCATTGTCATTCCCAGATCGTCAAATACAGACGCGAATGGTGTTCAGTTAGTTTCAATCTGCAACTTCACCACTAGATGCCACTAAATCTCACACACTGGTCCTTTAAGAGGGCAACTCTCAGGCTCTTACCTCAGTATGTAGCAATAATTATATATTTTTTAGCTGTGATTTTGCAGGTTATTTAGGGAAAGCATTTTTTGATTAACCATTAATCTGAACAATGGTTTTATTTTCACTACTACCAAGTTACAATTTACTCCTTCCCTACACGTATGATTAGGCTTCTTTTATTAATCTTTTATGGTCTTCACAACTTACTTTAGTTACTCTAGTGAACAGATTTCAAGGCAGACATTGACACTGTTTAGTAAAAATGTAATAAAATAATGATGAGGTGAGCCTATAGAACTAGTTCAGCTAGAAGCTCGAGGTCACATTTATCAGCTGAACCTGAAAGTTTGCACATTCCCTCACCAATGGGCTGCAAGTTGTTTAACTGAACTGCTCACTTCACTACAGCTTCTTCCCATGAATGATGGTTCATTGACTATGTAATCACAGATTGTGCAGTCACAGATTTGCACAGTAAATGATGGGGAAGGGTATATGTTTTGGCAGGAGGCTGTACCTGTCTTTTGTGTTCAGTGTTACTGATTATATTTGAAAATACTGAAGACTTTGTTTCATGATGCCTAACACAGTGCTTTCGCATTTCTATATATTTTAATTACCTCAGTTGAAAGCTGCTATTTTAGAGTGAAAGAGAGTGGGAAATCCTCCTTGTTTTTATTCTTGATGACCTGAATCAGTGGTTATAAAATGTGTCAGAATAGGAAACTGGGCCCAACCAGCCCAAATGTTTTAGTGCGTATTAGGTCAGACTTTAAGGTGTAGGAGTAAAAGCATGCATCACTTCTCTCTTGATGTCATTCATTATTGTTTAAGGAGATCATTTACACCTCACTGAAATGAAAACATACCATCCCTCAGGTAGGTAGGTAAATCATAGAATTTTGTCCTGCATTAATTTTAATTTTGAATGTATACAATAAGAGTGATTTACTGATGATTAATTAAAATGTGTCTATGGAAAAGGTATATTTACTGGGATTAAAGGCAGAGCACTGAACGTGCCTGTAAAATGTGAAGATTATATGTCTCTTGTTGGTTTGTTCTATTATATAATGACATTCATATGGCATGGTAATTTGTAATGTTTATTACATAACCAGTGAATTTAAATACAAAACAATACACCAGATAATTTGTCACCCTCAGTATCGTGTTTATACTTCATTAGTGATAGTCAGACTTCTACAAATAGACACCAATCACAAAAAAAAATTTTTTAAATTCCCCAGAAACACTAATGATTCCATTGATACACTTCCATTGAATATTTCCATTTACACTTACCTCAGTTGTAACATTATCAGTTTATAAAAGCTGATGCAAATGTATAAAAAGAAGTTAAAATTAACTCTTTCTCAATCTGCCATTCTGCCAATCTCAACCATTTATGCATCAGTAATAATAATCCAATGATTTAATATATAATACTACACTCATGGGCCATTCTGCTACATTATGAGTACTTTGACTTTAGTGAGTACTTCTGAAGTATGCATTATGTATTTTTAGATTGTGGTATTACTTCTTTTTACTAATGTAAAGGATCGGAATACTCCTTTCACCACTGCAAAACTCTACAAACCTTTAACAAGAGCATTTGCTGCTTCCAGTGAAAGTAAAAAGCATCCCATAATAAAGTTTTTCCCCTGCACAAAATCCTGATAAAAGGAAACAACAGCGCTGTGACTTAAGAGTAGTTGATGAGATACTCTGGATAAATCTGTTGTTTTTCAAAGACAACGTAGATGCTGGGGTCGCTCTTGCGGTCAACACAACTGTCGTAGAGGGTTTTGTCGTTTCCTTTTGGCGGGGGGCGAACATAGCTGCTGCTTCCCCTGGTGTACTCCCCCACCAGGACCAGAGCAACAAACATGATCTTGTTCAGGCTTTTTTTGATGCTGGCATACCTGTTTGAGTAGGACGCATCTTTGGCAAAGTAGCTCCCTAAAAAATAAGAAAGTATTACTACTGACACAGTGTGATGGTTCTTTTCTAATGTCACAGTAAAGTGTCTTAGTGGCTTGTCAACACTGTCTGCTGTATATTTGTTAAACTATTCGAATGTCGGTTGAATGAATGCTGCTGTACCCTTGCCGTAGGCCGTGCCGTGGCTACCACACATCCTCCAGTCAAAGTTTTGCTCACAGATGGCTTCAATCAGGGACTCGTCTGTCCCATGGAACAAGTACTGCTGATTCACAGGTTTCCCGTCATTCCTCTTCTTCATCTGCTCATTCTGCCTGAACACACAATATAGAAAACACCAATGCCATGACGTGCAACCAAGTATTATTTCCACTTTTGATTAATCAGCCGGGCGGCTTAACAATGAGCTGAAACTCGCTCTAAAACTCTATTAAGCCGAGGACAGCTGCAGATTGAGCTAACAATTTTCTGGAGGTTCATCAATAAGAGCCGACTAACCCCTTTGCGGATTGTCACACACATTGTTATTATAAAAACACTGATTATAGCTACTTTAAGTCCAAAAAGCCAGATCTATGATTTACCACTGAAAGACTTCCCACAGAGCGGGATTCTGGATCCTCTGGATGTTGTGAATTTTACTCTGGGGCATGGTGCGCTTAAACAACATCTCAATCCTACTATACTCCGATGCAGATTTGGAGAGAGGTATGAGCTGAAAGATAAAAGTACAGTGCAGATGAATGTGTATTAGTGTATAAATATATAGTTGATGCTCAAGAAGGAACAAAAAAGTTTAAAAAAGTTAAGAAATATTAAGCACAGTAATACATGCTGTAAAGATACCTTGTATCCAACATCTGGTAGGGCAGTCTTGTCCCAGTAGGGTGGGAAACTTGCAGCTGTGGAGGAGCTGGAGGTGTGTGTTGAAGGACTACAGAGGAGACAAAAATAATAACTGAATGGTGAAGTCACTTGATCCAAAACAGCAGCATTGCAAAGATAATGTCACATCACCATCTATAACTGCAAATAAAAATACCTCTTTAACTTCACCTCCACATCATTAGCAGACACAAAGAAAGGCCTCCTTCTGACCTCTCTCTTGGTTTTGTACTTTACATTCTCCTGATACATCTGCGGGGTTCCCGGTGCACCTTTTAAGTGGAGGATGTACTGGTGTTTGCCAGCGCCAAAAGGGATCTCTGTATCACTGTCTGCCAGGTACACGTTCTCCAGAATCTGAGAAGTGATAGAGGCTGGTGTGTCAACACCAACCTAAAGAGAAAAAAAGAAAACAGGTGAGGGGAAGAGGGGAATGTAGCAAATCCCAGTGTACCTCTTCCCTCAAACAGGATCACAAACAAAGACAAATAGCTGCATTGTTTGTACAAGTTTCACTGACCTGTCCAAACTGCATCCATATCCCGCTCTCATCCTTCCAGTACCAAAGCCATTCTGTTGTAAGAACGAAGTGAGGGGGCTTTGACACAGAGGAGGCCGTGGACAGGCGACGGACTGGAGACCCTCCGTATGTCATCTTCATAAAGTCAACTGAATGCACAGCAGGGGATGCAGCGCTGGAAGCAAGTAGCAAAAGTAAATCTAAAATTCCCTCAAAAGGGAGTAAACATTTCAAAAGGCTTCAACTAATGTAAATAAATATTGCTCAGTGACCTGTCACCTTTGTAAAGACAGAACTCTGAAAATCCCTAAGGGAGACGATAGTGAATCCATGGAGCTTGTGTCACGTTCTGGGTCGCAGTAGGCCTTCTCAATGTCCTCCATATTAGGCAGGTCCTTCCAGGTCACACCATCGCTGTCTAAAACTTGCCATCTGTACGGCAGATGCCAATGGACACGAGCACACCTCTCTGGGGAAATAAATGTTACAGGTAGAAATATAGAAACCATCTCCTCTTCACACAGATGTACACACATGCATTGAGAGGTTACTGTAGAGTAAATTCAGCCAACCTCATTTACCTTTGAAGCTGCAGTTCTTACGGATGAAGTAGAGGCAGATTTCATTCTTGTCTGCATCGCTTATTGGTTTGGATGGACAAGCAGAACTAGTGGGGGATCCAGGGTTGCTGTGGGAAGGCTGCTGAGTAGGCATTTTCACCTCTGGCAGCGCTGCAGGAGACACACATACATATGTAATATCTATTGTGCAGTTCAAAAGTTCAAAGAGTTTTCTATTAAAGTACTTGTTCTTTACCAGGAACAGCAGTAGCTTGTCTCCCTTGATGACCCATGATGATGAATTTATTTCTGTAGATCCCATGAAGGTTGGTAATATTCTCCTGACTGAATCCTCTGAAGAGCTTCATTCCTTGTGCATTAGTAGCATCAATACTGTGGGATCTCTTACATGAAGAACCAAACCTACAGTCACCCTGGAGATAGTGCAGGCAGACGTGAAGCTTGGTGCAGGATGTGGTGAACTTGCAGGAACCGTGCAAACCGTTGCCCTTGTTGTAGTGGGGGCAGATCTGGAACAATATTCATATCAAAAACATTATTTTCTACACAATAGCAAGAGAGTCTGAATTCCCACTTATATTTCCAACTGTTGCCATTAAAACCTACATCAGGGAGCAGATGTGGGTCATTCTGCAGTAACAGCTGGAACAGCTGTTTCTCTGTCAGATGCTGAAGACCATATCTCTCCAAAAGCTGTGCATTGTGTGGATCAACCAGACTATGGTTTTTGTTACACTTGGGTCTGAAAATAAGAAAATGAAAAAAAAAAAGATGATTTCTTGTTATTCAGTTTTACTGAATTAACCACTGGAAAAGGCTGTACAATACACAGTGTAGGGAAAACAATGGTCAAGATAATAGTTGCAAATTACTGCCATCTTCTGGTCAAATAAAGGAGCTACAGTTTGCTTCTTTTTTGTTGTTGCTCTTAGGCCTTTGTCTGAAGTTGGTTTTGTTTCCCACAGAAGCCCAAATAGACTGTGAGGCAGTAAAATGCTAATTTTCTTCTCTTAAAGATTCCCTCCAGATATGTATTTCTACATTAACATTTTTAAAAAGTTAAAACATCCTTCCAGTGTTAAACTGGACTGTACAGAGCCTACATCATTGTTCGCAGTGAAGCTCAAACGACCAACTGCAGGAACAAAATCAATGAAGAAAAACACATTATTGAGTGGAGGGGGACTAACAATTAATCTTATTGTTTGGATTTACATCTTTCTTCAAATGTTTTGTGTTTTAAGCAAAGTTAAATAAAGCTGTACACCAGCCAAGCTCTGCTTTTCAGAGGCAGTCATAAGATCAAGTCACCTTTGACACAGGACTATTATTATTTCCTTTAGTCTGCTCGGGCGGAAGTTGGGAGGAGCCATATTGATGGCACAGATAAGATGATAAAGGGTGTGAGTTGTCAAACCACAAACCTTCAGGAGAGTGAGTGTCAACCTGTCTGTGCAGTCTATGATCTGTACACGCCCAACAAAAGATTTAAAGTGAAAACAGCTGTGTGAGTGTTTGGGGCTTTAAAGTTTAAAGGGTCTTTAACCCGCTTTGATTTACTGCTCTGATCTCTGTCTTCTGTCTCTGTAGCCTTTGGGGTTACTGTATGTTGATGTACGCTACACTTATGTTAAAGGGCTGCGGCCTAAATCTATTACACAAATGCACTCCCAGCAGGTACTTACCCGAAGGAGCAGTCTCCGCACACAAAATACCTGCACAGGTGTAACCCATCGCACTGTGGACACTCTCCAGGCTTTCTCTGACACAGCCGCAGACTGGTTTTAGCCACAATCAAACTATCCGGGCTGAGTACTTGACCGCGGACAACCCTCTGTTTGCCCTCCTGAATGGCTATTTTACCATCTTCGAAGAGGACTTTGCGCAGGACGGGTTCCGCGACAGTGAAACTCTGCGCGATCCTCTCCTCCAGACGCTTGAAGTCCAAACACCCCTGGTTGTCGCACAGGGTCTTGATGATGCATTTGGAGATGACTGTGGTCATCCTGAAGAGAGTAAATCACCCCCCAGTAACCCACACTGTTATCAGAGCAGAGCAAGGCTACAGCTTCCTACTGATCCACACAGCGACTTCTGATTACAGGGAAATGAAACTGAAATTTAAAGCAACAAGAAGAAACTTTCATTTTGTGTCGATTCTGGCGGCCCCCTGTGGACAAAGGCGGTGTTGTTCCAACAGAGAATCCAAATGAATCTGAATTTCAAGAATAATAAATAGCTTATCAATTAATAATTAATTATTAATATCTTATCGTTGATGGTCTCATTTGCTTATGTAAGTCATATTGTTTATAGTTTATTAAGGATCCCTGTTAAAAGCACATGTATGTGCCTCTAGCCTTCCTGGGCTCCTTAACATAAACAAATACAATAATAAGAAAATATAAACATTAAAATATAATAGTAGACAGGAATAAAGTAATAACAAATAATAATGCAATTAACATAAGAATAATAAAAACAATCAGACCATACACATAGAGTTATGGTCATGCTGCAAGATAGTTCTTTATATGCTTCTAAAAGTTGTTTTGTTAATACGCTTAAAGTAAGTTAAATTAAAAACACAAATATAGTCCTCAAATGAATAAAAGGCAACATAATGTGATAATTAAACCACTCTTTCCTTTCTGTCTCTATTAGTCGCAAAAGATCCAGACTATGGCGGTTTCTGTAGGTACGTGAAGGCAACACGAGCCCTAGCAACCGTTGCAGGGGTTCAGTGTACCATAGCAACCATGGAGGATGAGCTGTTGTTGATGGAAGAAAAAGGGAAAGAAGTCACACAGGAGCAAAAAGAACTCCTCTACAACCGAGTCAAAGAACTAAAGTACGTTTAACAGAAAATATCTGAGAACCCCTGTCTGTGTTAAAAGTGCTAAAAACGTTAAAACGTTTGTTCATTTAAACTTGCTAACGCTAGCGTTGAGCTAACAGCTAGTTCTGCTGTTAGTTAACGTAACTAGTTTAGTTAGATCACAGTAAGTGCAGAGAGTTAACTGGGAGTAGACTGGCATTAAACTGGGCTAGGTAACGTTATGAAATGTTAAAATATGTGACAGTTTCTGTTCTCCTTGAGAAATGATTAGAGGTGATTGAATAAGTGACACACACACACACACACACACACACACACACACACACACACACACACTGTATGATTTTAAAGTTGTTGTTTTTATTCACTTCCACCCATCCAAGATGTTCCAATGCAGCCCTCCTGGCAGAGAATAACATGTTGGAGCGGTTTATCGGCCGCTTGGATCCTCAGGACCTTGTGTCCCAGGCTGGGGCAGATGGCCCAGGGGCATCAGGAGCCTCCCAGCTGGAGGGTGGGGTAAGTGCCACCCAATAACAAGACTTCTTTACTTTTTCTATATGTATGCAAAACTCTTTCCCACTGAAAATGAACACTAGGAGGACAGATTTTGCCACAATCTTAGAGACAATCCTGATTTTAATGGACTGATGACCTCTTTGCTCTGTGCTCCTGATAGCCCCCAAATCATTTTATGTGTGTGGGTGCATGTGTGCGTTGTCAGGGTCGTGGAAGGAGGCGGAGGTCCCAGTCCAACCTATCAGATCGCCTTCATCAGCTGACCTTGGAACAAAAACTTAATGTGGTACAGAGAGAAGTAACAGAGACACGACAAGACCAGGAGAAACTCAAACAGAGATATGAGAGAATTCAGGATAACTACAAGGTTACGACACACCCTCCACAGAAATAAACAAAGCAAAAAGAAACAACTAAATAAACACTTAAAACATATTTTGTCTTTCCAGGCCTCCCTAAAAGAGGCAGAATTGCGTCTTGCAGAAATCAGGAAGGCCAAGAACGAGTTTGAACGCAGACTGATCAAACCTATGATGGACAACAGGTTGGAAATGAAGGAGCATGAGAAGGTGCTCCAGTACACTGAAGATAAGTCAAAGGTAAAAAGACTAATGAAAACTACGCAAAGTAGCGTTTGAATAGATTAAAGGTTCAAGGTTCAGCTTTATTGTCATTATAAAATACAGATTGCACAATGAAATGCAGGTTGAAACAACTGGATTACTAATTTTAGCTTAACTTAGAAAAGATGCCTTTATGTGTGCAGCTTTAAAGTTTAATTATATGCGCAAGACTCATAGATAAAACAACAGTTTTCAAACAGTTTTCCCCATATATGAGTTGTAATGTTAAAGGTCCAGTGTGAAACATATAGGAGAGTATACTGGCAGAAATGGAATATAATATTCATAGGTATGTTTTCATTAGTCTGTAATCAGCAGTGTATAGGAATAATTATGTTTTTGTTACTTTAGAATGAGTCAAGGCCGTCATAGTGAACTACCATGTTTCTACAGTAGCCCAGAAGGGACAAAACAAACACTAGCTACAATGGATTGCCGTTCATGTTTTTTTGCGTTTTGCAGCCACTGTAGTTTCTTATTGGTGCTTGGGAGGGGAGGGCGAAGCGACAGCCACTACACCGCTAGACGCCTCTAAATCCTACACACTGGACCTTTAATATAATAACTTGACCTTTCTGATTTTAGTCCGTCAACATATCGCATTAAGTTCCCTAAAATCCAATCTTAGCATGATTATTTTTCCATAGTCAAACCTATAGTTAGAACTAGATTCTGATCTGCACTGAGGGAACGTCATTGATACTAACATGCTGCTTTTTCTGACTGTCTGTTTTAATTCAACCGAAAAAGTCTGGTGGGGTAAAATAACACATAATTATCATCTCCCTTTTAATGGGAATGACAAGGGGCTGAGACATTGAGTGATTATTACTTTTACTCTGTGCAAGGGTTTTTTTTTTTGATGTGATCATCTGCTTTCTCCAGTACTGCCGCAACCCCTACTCATACTCATCACCATCCTCCCTTTGTCCTGTTCACAATCACACACACAAACTGAAACCAGGTCACCCAGTTGGAGAAGTACAATCTGAAGAACCAGGCACTGAAGGTCCAGGAGAAGAAGCTCCAGCAGCAGCTTCAACAGAAAAAAGAGACGGGAAAAGCAGAATATGAGGTAGAGAATGAAATTGTGTGTATATCCAGAGAGGCTAAGAAAGCTGGAAAGAGAGAGACCTGCTGTGTAGCATGCGAGTTAGACAATTGTGCAAGAGAAGGAAATGTAACAATGTATGATGCTGTATGTCTTTTTTAGGAAATTTTCCAGGAATACAGCAAGGAGAAAATTGATCAAAGCCTGGAGGAAATTCAAGTCAGAAATCTCAAAGTGCAACATGTCCTCAGTTCACACAAGGTAGCTTATCAGAAATATGTGTGTGGGAGAGAGACAGAGAGATAGAATTTCCTCAGTGCAATTTCCTGTAGATATATGAAACCATCTTTGTAGTTTAGCTTATCACATAGAACTTTGCTCCAGCTTGTCAAACCTATATGTGCGTGTGTGTGTGTGTGTGTGTGTCAACAGGAGAAGCTGCGGAGAGTGACATTGGAGTCCACAGAGCTGAGCAATGACATCAGCAACAGAAAGCAGATGCTGACAAAAATTGAGGAGGAGATACAGCATGCTGAGGAGGTTTGTCAGTGGTCCAAGAATGACTCAGACTTTAAGAACTTTATACATGTTTTTGTCCATTGGTTACCAATGAGTGGCAGAGTCATTTGCATTAAATTATGTAAGACAGACTAAAACAGACAAATCAGTTAATATTTCTCCCCCTTTCTAAACCACACCTATCTCCTGCTCTTTAAAGTAATTAACTTTGTCCGCTCCATCCCTTCTACTTAATTTTCTCCCTCTAGGAGCGTATAAAGGCAGAGGCTCTCAACAAACACCTGCGTCGCCAGATGACAGATTATCAGGCTCCTGATATCATTGAGTACATGCATGTGAAGGACAAACACAAGAAGCTGCAGCAGAGCATTCACACTTTGGAGAGAAAAGTTGGAATTGCTCAGGTAAACCGTATTTATTTTCTTTCATCAAATGCAACCAGCTCTCTCCTGGATTTTCTCCTAGATTCTCTTGTCATGTCTGTAAAAAACTGAATATTTGCTCCACTTTTATCGGACCACATCAAGCCTCGGCCCAAGCTGAAGGAAAGCTGTTGTGTCACAGTATCCATAACAATGAGCCTTCTCTTCTCTGTTTCACCAGATGGCCTTGAAGACCCACGCTAAAGCCTGGAGTACACAGGGACCCACTCTTACTCCTGCATACAGTGCTGAGGCTAGAGATAGATCTGGGGGACACCAAATCCCAGTAAAGCTCCCATACATAGCAGAACACAGCACATAGAGAAAACATCAGAAAAAGCCTGCTGGATTCTTATAAAAAAAGACATTAATGCGTGGTGGAAAGTACACGTTGAGAAATGTAGGAAGAAAAGATTTAAGCTTGAATCCTCATCATGTCTTCTGGGGTTTTTTTTTCACTCATACTCACTGTGTGTCCTTGGAAGAATGAAACGTACATTAGATGTTCTGTAAATGTATAAACTTTCTCCATCAAGCCCTATTGGCGTAGTCATTATGAAATCTTAGTATACTGAATTATATTATTAAAAAAAACTTTTTTACATTGTGCTATTCATACTTTTACCTAAGTAGAATAATCTGAATACTTCCTCCACCACTGATCATAATTAAATGCAAAGTTACTGTGTATAAAAAGTAACGGCAAAAAAAAAAAATCTACCTCAGACTCGACAAACTATTTCCTTTATTAGAAAGAAATCCTTGGAGGTATAAGCCCTCAAAGAACTCTAAACGTTATGATGTTACATGCCATATATACAGTTATATACATAAAAGTGCAATGTCACAATGGGTAAGCAGTTTATTTATTATTAATTCTGTCATATAACTGTTTGGAAAATGGCATCATTACTTATTCATGTGTCTTCTTCCTGCACTGCAAAACAGCATCTGACATGAAAATGCAACGGTACAGAATGTCTGAAGTTCCTCTAAAACATTTTCAAAGGCACTTTCACAAGTACATACTACAGATGTACATAACACCACAGAGTAGCTTAAAGCCTACAGACGGCATAACTGAGTCCTACTGTTGATGATGTTACATAGTGACAGAGCACACTTTTATTAATTTTTTTACAACTGGCTTCATACTGTATATCTGGATATTTATTCTACATCATTTGTTCTAAGTCATTTCTACCCAGAAATGCAACAAACATAACAAAAATGATTACAAAAATAATGCAAGTTAGTAATTCAGAAAATCAATTATCTTTTGATTATTATACACACAATATCTGTCAAGTCAAAGATAGTGTAAACCTGCTGTTAGAGAGCATTGCTTATTCATTGCAAACCAAGTCTTTCCTGTGTGTTATTACGCTAGCCAAACATTCCCAGGACATGCACCCACTTCTGTTATTTCTACAGTACAGAGGTTATTTCGGAAAAGACATACAGGGGGGAAGTCACACAGTATGGGGCTATTGCATTTGAAATTATTACTCGACCTGGACACATACTGACACTGCTGTTCATCATCGTGTGAGACTTCCTCCTGTTCCATGTGTTTTCTATCACATGTCCGGCATTTAGAGATGTCATCATCCACAGAGAAAGCCTCAGTGTCAGTCAGAGAACAATACAAAAAAAACCCCACATTACTGACATTCTCACCTGAACATAAAAGCAACTAGAGGGACACAAAGCAAGCTGCTGTTTTCAAAGAGAAGCATAGGAAGCAGGGTGAACACATTAGGAGGCTTTTACACTAACAGTCATTAGGTCCATGGCTACGGGCAGCACTCCCACAGGGCGCTGCCATGAGTCTGTACATCAGTCAATGTGAAGAATGCCTACATCATATATGGAGGGTCAACATCCATGCTTTAACTTGCAGTCATGTCTTTGGGTAAATAAAGCCAAGCAAGGCATAAAAGAAGCTATGGCATGTGTTCCACACCATTTAATAGCATATGTGTTGTATATACTGCAGGTAGGAGATGATTTATCATCAGGATTTTTCACACTTCTCCCCATAGATTACATGGATGCCAAGGCATAAGTTATTAGGCATATTTTATCCCTGCATCATGAGTTATTGATGCAAGAATTCAACAATGCATCAAAATGTTCAAACAAAGTTCATAATGAAGTAGTGGTTTTATCCAATAGTCATATGTAATTCCAGGCAATATGGAAATATGTTCAAATAAATTTAAGTGGATCCAGCACAGAGGTGATCTTCATACATTTCTGAGATGCAACAGATGGTATGCCTTGCCAAAGAAAGTTGCAGAGTTTACACGCTAGTGAAAAAAGCATACTGCTATCAGTCCTATCGTCTATTAACAAAGTACCATTAGTTATTAAGGGCTCTTCGGGCCCGTAATCAGTCCAACCTTCAAACCATTTCAGTCCAGGTAGTCACAGCACCTTTATAATATTTAACATTGGAAATCCAAAGTCAATAAGGCCTTTGAACCTGTTTGCAAAACCTTCAAGGGCCCTCCTAGATAAGAGCAAAACAGTTACATAATCTAGTTGTATGTGTGAGAATGCCACTCTGGTCACTACAGTTCCCATCAAGCTCCAGGTTCAGGTTCAGTGGTAAACAGAGGAGCTACTGTACATGCAGCGTGTTTTGTTCAAGATACAGTTTCTGAATGTCTGTAAACTAAACTAACTAGTGAACATATACTAAAACCTTGAAGGAAGCCTTTGTGATTTGTTGTTTGAGTTAAAAAAAAAGAAATTTGTTAGATAACATTAACCTAAGCATATTAACACATAACTGTGTACAGGTTTTTTTAACAGAAGATTTGTCCGACTGACAGATCTGTGTACATTGTAACTCCTACAGTCTCTTTATGATCTCTTTCGCAGCTTCAAAACCACAAGGAAACATCTTTTATTGTCCAGGTCTATGTATTTTACACACTCTAGGATATTATTTGTTGTATGTCTATGAAATCTAGGCATTTTGCAGCCACTCCCCGGAAGTTGATTGAGAGTTTTTGTTTTACATCTCTGATTCCTGTCCCAGAGGTTACATGGTGCAGGACTTATCCAGAGGGTCCTGAGCAGCTGGAGGCTGTGAAGCCTGGCTGGATTTGGGCAGGACCATGGGCTTGGGCCTCAACGCCGGGGGTTTGAGCTGCACACCCATGCGGGGCGCCACCACAGGCTTGAAGGTGCTCATGGTATCGCTGGAGGAGCTGGTGCTGCGGCGGATAGGTGGCTCAGTGTTGGCGGTGGACCTCAGCATGACGCCGTGGATGGGGCTTAGGGACTCGCTGGAGCTGGCCGGTGTGGGACCCCCGCCACCGCTGCTGCCGGAGGTCTGCCGCTGCTCCAGGGTGTCCAGCACCACGTCAGGGGCGTGCTTGGCTGAGCTCTGCCGCTCCAGCTCGCGCAACTCATTCAGAGCAGTGTTCATAGTTTCCTCTATGTCCTGCAGGAGACAGAGAGAGAAAGAGAGAGAGAGTGTGAGAGAGGAGGGGGGGATGTGGGGGGATGATAATAACACTGGTGAGAGAGATGACTGAGAGGCAGGAAGGTTGGAGTTAAAAATGACAGAGAACCAAAAAAGAAGGTAGAAGAGTGAAGAAAAAAATAAGACAAGATAGGAGCAGCAAAGACGTGAGAGAGGGGAGAAGGTAAGATTACAGTATAGTAGGAAACATAAAAAGAGATATTAACAGAGGACCACAGTGACAGTTTTTCAAGAAAACGCCAAGCATGCATTATACATGCAGAGAGTTAGTAGTAGTATTACTTTGTACCAGCACCTCTCCCTCTGCATGCTAATGACTTTGGATAGCGAAGGAGATGCAGAGATGACAAGATGTTCATCTGAGCATGCTCCCAGTAGGCAGACAGACAGCCCAGCACAGTTTAAAGTGCTCTCTGTGACCTCTGCTTTCTAACTGAGGCTCTATACAAATGTCATTTGTGGCTTTACTATTCATGTGACTATTGTCAGAGCTATCACCTTCCAATCAGCAGTGACGCAAACACGGATGTCTGCTTTAACACAAATTACTACCAGTTTTACTGGCATTGATATAGAGTTTTTGTATGCTCACAAGCAAGACTACAGTAAATATACTGTGAGGAGTCCCAGTTTCGAGCTATGCTCCCTGCTGTCTGCTGCCTGTGAAGCTAGTCTTTTTTGCGTGTATTTAGCACACAGACACAGTTGCAGCCAGAGGAAGCAGAAGACAGGGACTGACTATGTTTTTACAGGGCGGGGCAGGGCTTTGATGGTGGAGGGAGCTGCGGTCGGGTCGCCGCTCGTCCCGCGCTGACCTGTGCGATGGTCTCCGGATCCAGGGGCTTGCCGCCATGGATGTGGTGGGCATCAGTAAAGCCCGTGTACTGGCCCGAAGAGGTAGAGCGGCGGATTGGGGGGCTCTCCATCTTCTTCAGCGACTCGTGGCGGCTGATGTTGGTCAGGCTGCCATGGCCAATGCGGCGTCGATGTTCAGGACTGTCCATGGGCATGTGGTTGCGACTCCGCAGCATGTCCCGTGGGCTGAAGTGGCCTAAAACTGGGGAACCCATCTCTGGGGTGCCTCCATGTCCTCCATGACCATGCTGGGAGGGATGTACCATGCAGTGGACATCGCTGGGGCGGGCAGGGGGCCGCCGAGATGGTGGTTCTGATCTTTTCTTGTGCCTGCTGGGATAAACACAGAAATATTTATTTAATGTATTTCTGCTTTCATCTTTTAACATTTTACCCTATTCCTCACATCCAAACATTGCACTCAGGCAAGCATTTTTCTTTTCTTATTACAGCTGTTGCACCACCTTATATATCCCTAATGTAAACATTCTTTTTGGATTGACTGCTCTATCTTCAATAATATAAGCCTTAAATTGTTGAATTGAATTTATTTAAAGGCTATTTTTGGGTCTCACTCTGAAAACACAGGGAGCCCAAACTTGATGTACGTGGTTGTCAGTACTACAATATGGGGGCATACTGCATCCTCAGTAGCTTATAGTGAATGTAACATTTTCCACTGTGGAAAAAAAACAGTCATCATTGGTGTACGAGGAACCCTGAGTCAGTGCCTAACAGCTCAGACGAGCTTATTTGGAGAGCAGGTAGAGTGGACCTGGCTATCAGCCAGAGGAGGGAGGCCTGTGGTTCGTCAGAGCACCAAAACTCGCCCCCTGGGAGAAGCTCCAGCTGCTTCAGCACTACGGCTGTCCTCTATCTGAACCTGGACCAGCACAGCACCATACGCACCTAATCTGACTTTCGAACCATGCAGAGACAGAGCTGAACGTGAACGCATGAGTCTGGTCAGACACACACTCCTTCATACTCACACAGACACATTGCCTGCTGAGTTAAGCATGATTTCCCCACAGTAACATCTACTCCCTTGAAACTGTTCTATTGCTCCATAAAAGGCCAATAAAGATGCACATCCTCCTCAGTATGGCTCTAATAGGCTCTGCATATTTACGACCACCAGCACTACAGTAGCTACGGAAAGCCTGAGTCAAGAACTGTAATCTTTACTCAAAGCAGCTATTATCACTTCCTGTCTAGCAGCTAGATGACTGAAAAAGATATTTGAGTATTGCAGAACTAGAATTTTATAAAGAAGTTACCTGAAATTCATTACACAAAAATACATTCAGATGAATTTTTATTATTATGCAGCAATTCTCCGGTTGGCAGAACATTTCTCGAAATGTTGACAACTTGAAATATTTACTCAATAACATCTGAAAGCTGTTACATGACAGATTAACAATTTTATTTAGTCTGCTGTCTGCATTATTGTTTTTTTGTGATGATGAACAATCAGTGAATTGCTCGTCCTTTAATCACATCTCTGAGGCAAATGGCTTTATATGTGAGTTTACTTCTGCCTAATGAATGCTGTCATCACCGTTCTAACCGTCCAACCAAAGTATGGATATGAAGGACAGTGACGCTCTCAGTGAATGGAAATGCAGCTTGGCATCTCCCCAATCATTTCATCACAGAAAATTACTCTGCTACGTGAACTAGAAAGTCTCAGGTCAGTCCCAACGACCATGCGAGACTCTGAAACCTACTCACACACTGCCAAACACTCTGGATTGTGAACAAAATGTGAAAATAGAAATGAATATGAACAAAACATTTTTTGACAGCACTACTAGCGATTGATAATAGTTAATTAGTAGGTTAGTTAGTTTAATATACATTAAAACTCATTGGTGGAGTGGTGCAGGCTGGTACGCCTGGTGTGAGAAAATGTTTTTTTAAAATATGACTGCAGTGAGAAATCTGGAATAGTAAACAACTGCAGGAGCCACCGACAACCTGCAGGGGGAGCAATCTGCATTCATAACACCAGTCCCCCCTCTGGGACAGAGTGTACAACAACAGGCACTGCAACTTACTCTGCAAGCTGTCACCACACTGACAGCTCTCCCTTTGTTTATTGTGGCAGTGGCTAATAATAATGTAAATCACAAGACATTCCATGAGTTTCTCTCCCTCAAAACAGAAAACGGATTACGGAACTGTAATACTTGGCATGATCTCATCCATCTGTGTCCTCGCCACTAAAAAAGGCACAAACATAACTGTCTTGTTTAAGGATTCTTGTTATAGTCGTGATGCCAAATCCTACTAGAGTTCGCGTCCAGTGAGCATGTTGCTGATTGAGAACACCAGGAGAGGAAAATATCTAAAAAAAGCGCAGGATATAAATGATTCAACACTTGTGAGAATTGTCCGAATGGAAGAGCAGAAAAGTGAGTGGGGGTGGTAGAGAGGGAGGTGGGGGTCACCTGGGACCTGGTGACAGGTACAGACTGTTGTAGATGGCTTTGGGAGTTAGAGGAGCTTCATTAAGGCTGATGTGAAAAAGATGATTCATTCAGATATGTTCTCCATCTGCATACAAATACCTGCAGTTGGTAAATATTGCCTCAAGTATGAATCATCAACATTTCAACAGTTAAGTGGAGAGGGAGTGAGTGTGGCTCTGAATAAAATAGCATTTGTTCATGTGTTTGGCAAGAGCCAGTAACAGACGTTTCAAGGTCGCTTACTCCACCAACAGAAATGCAGCAGCGAAGAGAGGAGCAGGAGACGAAATACTGGCACACAACCAGCAGACGCTGCCAAAAAGACTGAGGTGTGATCGGATACGTGTGCGTCTTCTCTCTGTGACATCCCTCCCTGTGTTTGTATGTATGTGTATGTACATTATGTTCCAGTGGGACCAGCTGATGACTAACTACCACTGGGAAATGGGTATTTAATGCTTACTGGAACTGACCGGTCAGTGGGAATAAAATAGAGCAGGAGAAGTTTATCCATCCAGTGGCAATTAGGCTGACAGAGGTGAGCTGAGGATATAGGGTGACAGGATGAAGCAGCATATGTAACACTGAAGATTGGGTGCATTACTGTCCAGGTCTCCCCCTGCCTCCTTCAGTCTTGCACACATAACAGGCAAATCAGATACATGCTGTTCAATGGCTCTCGGTGCAAGCTTTCACTGAAGTAAAAGGTGGAAACCAAGGCTTCAGCAACATGTAGTAGTCCAAGCCCCATTCAGTCCGGTCTATATAAAAAATGTAAAAGTTTGTTCATGTTTCAAGCGTCTTGAGTTTGTGTACATTTTCTATTCACACCTGAAGCTGTTTAAGCATCTTGGATGATGCAACACTGAGGTTGTTGCAGACAGGCTGCCGCTCGACTGTCAGTCCTTATTGGATTGGCCATCTCTCATTAGATAAAGCCAGTGTGAAGTCTGTGGAAGGCTGTGGTCATAAACTGGTCACTGGATGTCAGGAGGACTGGCACTAATTAACACAGTAGGATGCTTGTTAACCTTGAAAATATGTCTACTACACTGTTAAGTCCAGTAAGAAACCCTAAATACCAATATTTATAATGAACATATTATTTTTAAATACTGCAAGAACCTTTATGAAATTTGGTGAAATCACTGCTGTTTCTTGCCATGTATTGTGACATCTTTTTCTTTGGATTTTTGGGGCTATTAAGTGTGAGTTTGTGAAGATGGTGTCCATCCCTTCTCATGATAACAGTACAGTACCTTTCCAAACAGATTTCTGTTGCTTCTGCTGTACAATACAGACAAAACACATAAAACTTCAAAACCTTTTCAATACGCTAGTGGATTTTTCTTGGGAAAAACAGCAGATCTTCAGACTTTTGTGAATTGTATAGAGAATGCATAACCTTGCAAGGCAGCTGGCCTTAGGAAATCACGCTAGAATTCATCTTGCCAGGCTTCAAGCAATGTTTGCAAACCATAGTTGATTGGTTTGGAACAATCAGTGTCTTATGAGGGACTACCGGGAGCTTCAGTGTGAAGACGTGACTACTGTTCGCTCGAAAACAACAATGGCGGCTGCTAAAGAGGATAGCATAGTGCAGCTTTACAGCAGTGTGAAAACCAACCTGGTAATATAGGCCTCAGAGATCCTGGGGTCAGTGGGTGAACCGATGTCCTTTCCCGAGCATTTATCCTCTCCAGCGTGGCCGCTGCTGGCCTCGCTGTCAGCCTTCTGACTCAGAGTGTCTGAGAAGTTGTCATCTCTGGGACACAGAGACAGAGTGACATTGAGACATGGAAAGAGCAAGACGAAGTGACAGAAAAAAACAACAGACCAAAAAAAAGGAGAAATCAGCAAATCAGTCGATCTTTTATATTTTCACTGTTCTTCAATGACAGTATTTGATATCAGTTTCCTGTGAGTCAGCACGTCTTCCTCTCTCCCCGAAGGTCCAGAGAGTCAGATGAGTCATATTCCCAGGCATTTCAGTATTCTGGTGATGTACTATGGTAGTCACACACACACACACACACACACACACACACACACACACACACACACACACACACACACACACACACACACACACACACACACACACACACACACACACACACACACACACACACACACACACACACACACACACACACACACCTGTATGGGTTTCAGTGAGGTGTGCGACTAGATACTGGGGACAATTGGTGCCTGTCAGGTGGCAGTAATCAGAGCTCCTGAGCTGCACTGCTGCCTCTAATGATGTGTATTAGCTGATATAAAACACAGTCGCTTATTCATTGTATCCGCATGAGCGCACACAGACAGAGACAGAGCAAGAACGAGCACTTCTCCAAAGCAGAGGCGGCAGTAAACAAAATGTACAGACAGACACGAGAAAGTTTGAACATCTCAACAGTCGCGTCTTGAGAGAGACATCCTGTGCTGAAGTGGTCTCTCAGATGTTTCCTATTCCGGGTTCTTTTATGGGACAAGTAAAGATCACAACCCAGTGTGCTCTTACACTCTCCTTAGCCTGCTCAGTTTAAATAGAGGAGCAGGATGTTACTGAGCTTGGGGGACAACCCGTACAGCTGTAAATTCCCCTGCTCTTTCATTAACTTAGAAGACACCCCATCAGCAGTGCCCCTCCTGGTGAATTATTGATAGAGGCACACTGACGGGATAGCAGCAGGGGAAAGAAGAGACGAGACAAGAGGGGGAAGTCATTCTAAATGGCCATTTTGTCGGCCAGCTACTAAGTGATTGGAGTCATTCTGTTCTCGTCCTAACGAGACAGTGAATCCAGTCCATTAGGCACCAACAGTCGCCATGGTAGAGGGTATGCTTGTTGGTGCTGAGAGGGGGAAACGGTGACAGAAGGGCTGGTTGAGGACCCTGGAGATGGAGAATTCTCCACAGCTGAGTGGGGACGACAGCCGAACACAGAACAAACAAGACTTAAGGTCCTGTATGTACGACCCCACAGCTTACTTATGGCTCCTCTTATGGAGCAAAGTCAACAAGGAAAAGTGTGTTGTTTAACCCACAGGGATATCATCAGGGAGAGCTGGAGGGTTATTCTTTAAACCACAACTGTAAGGCTCTGAGTGGAGCTGGTAGTAATTTAAGAGTAGAAGGGACATTTCCTCAGTGTACCCCTGTACCAATTTTTCAAATGATGTGTTGTGAAGAGTCTACAGCCATGCTAGCAGCGCAGTAAGGCTATACTTGGGCACAGTGGTTGTTTCGCTTACTCTGCGGATGTCCAGCAGTTATGACGTTTACCATGTTCACCATCTTAGTTTAGCATGCTATCGTGCTAATTAGCACTAAATCAACTGAGGTTAATGAGAGTATTGGACAAATTACAAATTTGACCTGATGTTGGTGCTTGATGAAAAGTGAAGGAATTATCAAAGTTTTCCTGTTAAGACCATGACTGTCAGCACCAGACTATAAGTCAATCCATCCAATATTTGTCAACCTTTTAGTTTGAACAACAAATGTCAACCTGCTGGGGGTGCTATAGGTTACATCGGGGATCACAAAAGCTGGTAGGATTTATCCTCCTGGGGCCATGAATGAACAAGTTTTCATGGCAATCCATTCAATAGTAGCTGACATATCTGAGTCTGGAGCAGAGCGATGGTCAGATCAACGGACCTCTTTGCTTGCATTTAAAACAAGTTTAAAAATCCCATATTTAAAGATATCGGTGCTACCTTTATTATAAATATAACTTAGAAATGTATTAAATCATACTCTTATAAATAAAAATGTAAAATAACACTCAATATAAAACACTCACATGTCTTGGACCACAATGTACTGGTGTGGCACCAGGCCATCGATGCCGTTGTGCCGTCCCTCCCACCAGTCTTCTGACGCCCGCTGATACAGCAGCAGGGAGGCGCCCTTCTTAAAGGACAACTCTCGGGAAGAGCGCCCAACATAGTCAAACTTGGCAATGGCTTCAATGGGTTCGCCCTCTGTCAACGGAAAGAGGATTACACAGGTCAGGTATGTCAGACAGGGCAAAGACATCAGGCACAGACGGCTATTATCGCATGTGCAGACATTTTTAATGATTAATTCAAGTGGTGCAGTCTTGTGAAATAAAAATCTTGATACAGAAAGGCAACACATGGGCTGTGTCTGAAATCATCTGCTACTCCCCACTCACTATCTAGGGAGTTAGAAGTAGAAAACTATAAAGTGAGCTCATCTGCAGAATTTTACAGTACCCGGGTCATTTTCTCTGCGCCGTTAGGAACGCCATTGCTGTCGTACAACTCAAACGCGCCAGATCAACGTTGGTTGGTGGACTAATCATAATAAATACCAATACGCATTTTGGTGATAAATATATAATATTATACACAGCGTGTTTTCCGAAATGAATAAATACAAATTACTTTGTGTGTTGTGGTGCCCTGCTGTGCTCATATTAACCATATTATTATCGCACAACAACTCATGGATTAAACCCGTGCCTGTCGTCATAAGGAAAAAACTATTTTACACACATGAGAAGAAACAGAATTACTAGACAGAAGAGGAGAGAGAGAGAAGCAGTTTTCCGTTTTCTCTGTCTGCCATTTCTCTCTCAGCACACTACATGGTGGTATATAGTTGGTTAGTGACCATTGGTAGTTCTGGGATACTTGCATTGTGGGATACTCTGAGTCCACTATATAGGATGTAATAACAGTTGACTATATAATGAGTATTGAGCGATTTAGGACACAGCAATGCACTTAAATCCATGATGGATCTGATGCAGGAAAGTTTAGTATTAGGTCTTATACTGGCATGTTTGTGCACATGGAGTTCAAGTGTGCTAATCCAGTTGGTTACTTTAGTTGTAGTCAACAGTAACTGGCTCTACAACACCAGGCCAGGGCCACAACAGGCCCAGAGGAGCTTTAGCAGGATAATAATAGAAGCTGGTGAGAGGAGATCTATATGACTCAGGGGCATGTCAGTCACTGTATGGATCATTAGACTGGGTTGATACCTACTCAATAACTGTACAAGCAGAGCCCTGGATCAGTGACATGGGAAATGAACATGGGAAAAACCAGGAAAAGTTATTACAGACAATACTAACCAATGGTAGTTTGACCAATTAGTATTATGCTTTATTTCAATTAATCTTTATTGACAACCCGCTTAAAATATATTCTTTTTTTTCAGAGCAAAATCAGTTTTATCTGAATACTTCTGTGGTTTCAACAACAGCTACAGTCAACTCTCCTATTCAAAAAGGTACACATCTCCAAACCAATATGCATGCACTACAGCAACACAGGTCTAAAAATAGCTCATTTATTCCTCCCTCACTCCTACCTCTGCACCCCTCCCATCTCACTTTCTCACTTTAAGTCAGACAGGGGGTCCCTGGACAGACGAAGCCTCACCCTAACACAGGCTCTCTATATAAACTGGGATCACAGTAAATGGCTGAACCTTGTATCGGCTGTGAAAAGCCATCATGGTATATCTTTCACAGGAGCTTGAAAGTAATTCCCAAATGAGGCCACGTGAGAGAAAAAAAAAAAAAACAGGCGTGATTCGGCATAGAGCGAAGGTTTCTACATTTCTCTCAGTATCTTATTCGACCTCATTTATTTCTATTATATTTTTTCCCAACTCTTAACTTGCCACCTTCCTTGCTTCACTTGGTTGTCAAGATTGACAGGGTGGATGTGACGTGGCTCCAATGAAATGTGACAAGCAGGAATTTACTGCCTGAATTAATTGGGCTGCACTGCAGCGGACAAGGCTGTTAATAAAGTTGACGGAACCCTTATCGGTGCAGGGGATTTCTCTCTCCATTTTCTCCATCTCGTTCTTTCACTTCAACCTATCCATCCATCTGCAAATGTTTATCCAAGGCAGGCACACACACACACCAGCACTGCAGTGACGTGGCTGCGGCTAAAGGCAGCAGGCCATAAACTCAAATCTCAGTGTGGTAAAGGATCCCCTCTGTCATGTTGTGCAATTATAACTGAGAATCGCTTCAGACCCAACCACCCGAGGTTACACACACACACACAGAGTTATTGGAGTTAAAGAAATGTTGAACCGTGAGAGCTGGAGGCCCGTTGTGTAAGAGATACGAACTGTCAGATGTCTTACACAAGCCAGTGGAGCAGAGTCTGTGTGGATGTTGCTCTATATCCATGTTCATACGTAAAAACAGGGGAGCAGCAGCCTGGTGTGAGATATGGTTAGGACCAATACAATAGGGGAGGGTAGAATAAAAAATGTTTTGTTCACCCTTTTCTCTGAAGACAAATATTAATCTCAATCTCTGCTTGCTGCTACAAACAGAGCAAGAGACTTCTTACTAGCCTTAGACACGGAAAGAGGATGACCCCTCTTGTACAGTAAAATACACTGCCCTTTAACATGTGCAGTCCTACATACAATATGCATTCTGGGGCACTTGGCAACAAGGACATCCTACTGTACTGCTGCAATGTGATATATAATCAATGTGCCAGTTAATTCACCTTTGACCTTGTAGCAAATTTACCAGCAGATAACATCAATGTATTGACGGTGTGCGAGAAGTGCCACTCTAAAAACACAGCTAATCTCCAGGCATGACAGCCATGTGTGTCAGCCCTGAACAGAAATATACTGAAGAAATATGTATGGCTCTATACAGCCGCTGTTTGCCATTTATTAAGGTTATTGTTCCTTTAATCAAGTGTTCATGTAACTAAAGAGGAGGACAATTGTGTGGATGACTTGATTTTCACTTGGTGTTATGACTTTATGACTCGTATGTATTATTTTCTACATTGCGGTCAGAGTGCTGAGCATCCAATTTTCTGAGAAAAGGGCAGATACATTATATGCCGATAATGGGAAATTTATAATAATGTATAATTAAATTAGAGGTTGTATGTTCTAGGATATCCAAAGTGTGTTTGCAAAGTTTTTTGATAAAAATAAATCATAAGTCAGAACTGTTTGTTTCTGTTGTGTTAACAATTTATCAGCTATATTTGGTTAGAACAGAGCTATGGAATATTAATTCATCCATCTTTACTCCATACATCTCAGCCTTACTTACCATTAGGTGTGCATACACTACAGGTTATCAACTTCTTTTTAAAATACAAAAATGTAAAATTATTGGCCATCTAATCGGTATTGGCAATAAGAAGCATGTAATCCATAAGGCACAAACTGGGCACAAGCTTTATAAAACACCTAACATGGAGCCATCTTTATCTTAAAAATCAACAACTGTCCTCCTCTTCATTTTTTTCCACTAACACCTGATCAAAGCAACAATTACTTAGCTTTACTTCCTGAGTGTGCTCTGTGTAAATCTGGCTAGTCCAGATCATCTATCTGAGCTAATGAGCTCTAACACACTCCAGGGGGGCTGAGCCGACCGGACGAGAACATTTCCGGACAACTACTTAGACCAACATGTGGAATGACTTTTACTCCTCCAGGCTGCCTGTTTCTGTCTGAGTTCACTTACTTTGAGGGCAAACAGATTTTGAGCCGTGAAAAGAAGAGAACAAACAGAAAAACTTTTTCAGTCTACAGAATCAAGTGCTGGTAACCAAACAGGAAAAGAGGTTTGCTTTTGTGTCTGAAATCCAAATGAGGTCATGGGGATTTAAAAATAACTGATGACAATAACTTGACCACAGTTCAAGACTCCACAGGGAGGGACTCAAGTCAGTGAGGACATCCTCCCAGTCTGTTCAGAGAGGCTATTGGAACAAAACCATGGTAGCAAGGGATTTCTGGAAAACATAATCTTCTATTAATTACTCAAAGACTTGATAGCTGCCATCTGTGTTTTACAGTGGGAACCATCACATACAGAAGTTTCCTTGTCTAATCAGATGTCCTTTTTAGTTATAAAGGACATCCAGATGATGACTTTAATTTGGAAGCACAGTGATTAACAGCTGATGTAATGAGAGGAAATCAACCATATTTCGAAACTCTGTCTATGGAGACTGATGACAAATGGTGACAGGGAGCCCCTAAAAATCATCTCTGGGTGTGAAAAGGAGACTGGATCAGGGCCGTTCTTGTCACCATGGAAACAGGTTTAGGGAAGTCTGTTACCAAGGTAAAATACGAAGACTTTGCTTAGCTATAGGTCGACTCTTTTTTTCCACCACATCTGGTCAGCTCCCGGATATTTATCATTTTTTAATGAGCTGAATTTTATTGTCTTTTCTGCTGGATGTTAACAGCAACAGTCTGACCCCGGCTGATATTTTGGTTTCAACTCACTCTGTCACTATTTGATTTGGACCAGACCGACCGGTATCCATTTTGCTCAAACAAAGGACCACATGTATAATCACACAAATGTACTGCATCCCACCCTGTCTGAGAGAAGTCTATTGTATTCTCCAGTGCCTATTTGGGCCTGGTGTTTTATTTTATTTCTTCATATTTCTCTTGGACACATGTAAATGTAATTAAACAGAGAAAACACAGACCAAATAACTTTTGATATGCCATTAAAATCTGACAAGTCGGACACATACTAAATAAATTTGCTATCCTTTTACAAATTACTATAACACTACATTTTCACAAGGTAATGAAAAACCTTCAAGGCAACTGAACATTTTAACCCAGGCTATGACCCATGGGAAACAAGATTTCTCTCCCAGTGGGTCCAATGGGTGCAGACCACCATGGGATTTGTAAAAGGGGGATGTGTAAGTGTCCTGAGGCCCCAAGGGAGAAGCAGAACCATTAGAATATGAATGGCCGTCCATCACTATGCTCAGCTCCTTCAAGGTTACTGCATTTAACAGGCTGAAAGGCAGGATAAGCTGCAGAGAGCTGGGTTTCCACAGACATGCGGGAGAGCTTAAATTTGGACACAGCATATGGACGGGACAGCATTTTACTGTAAGCGTATGTGTTGTGTAACACGATGGTGAAGTTCAATGGATGTAATGTTCAGTGGTTAATGCTGTTTTAAATGCAGTTTGGTGGAAAACCAAAAGTCCCACGCATAATCTAACAAGTGTCCATGCAGTTATGTAGTACATGCACGCATACATGTTTTTATTTTCACTCACCGTCCTCGCTGGTGTGCGTCTCTGTCCCTCCCTCATTCTCTACCTCCTCCAGGGCTCCATGCTCACTGTAGGGGCTCTCACTGTGGGGGACAACAAGCAAACTCAGAGTCATGTTCTTCTTTCTGTTTTTTAGTTTTTCCCTTCACTTCTTTTATCTTCAGGAAGTGAAAGTAGTTTGAAGACGCTATCTCCTAATTCAGTGTGCAATATAGGACTTTTGCTCAAATCTCAACAGTCAAAACTCATTTCAGTAAGGATGACAAGGAGGAAGGGAGGTTTTTACAAATAAGACCAAGAGGAAGTTCAAATAGCGGTCACTGACAGTATTCTGTGAGAGGCTTAGATCCTCGATCTGTGGTTGGGCCTCTTTTTCTATGGTCTTGTTCTGGCATCGTGCTGAGAGAGCTGGCAGTAATGCCACGCGCACACACACACACACATCGACAGATTACCCTGCCAGGAACTCAGTGTCTCCTCCCATACTAACATGTCACCAGCCACCTCCTCTTCTGCAAGAAAGGGAGGCAGAAAAGACAACAAATCTCCCCAGGGCATCTTGTGTCTTGCCGGGGGGACATGGTCGTGCTGAGACAGCTGATTAGCTCTAGCCAGGGATAAATCCCTGTCAGCCTGTGGTGATGTGTGGGCATTTATAGGGAGAAATAGAGACAGATAAAGAGAGGAAGAAACAAGTGATAAGCACTGCTTCTAGATGTGAAGCTGGCATAGGGCCTCAGATTTGATCTGTTTGACTATGTGCTGCAATTCATCTAATCATCCTTTCCCTGCCAGGTGACCTTTCTCTTTCCTCCTGCTGTGGTCATGGTAATTAAAGTGATTGTTTCAGCCTGTCTCACCTAGAAAAAAGTCCACCTTGTAAAGCCAGCTATGAAACATACTCTACCTTGTCATGTTCCTTAACCACAGACGCCTAATTGGTGTGTGTAATTACTCATATCAACTGCACTGACATACTACTGACACAGCTGCAGCGTGCACGCATACCTGCATGTTGAGTGAGTCCCTAAGGAAGTAGGTTTGGCTGCATGCCTTTGTTCCCCTCACAGTAAAAAAAAGGAGTAAGCACTGGCATCTGTCTGACTCTTCTACATCTCGTTGTGTAAAACTGTGCAGCTGCATGAAGTGACCTCATCAGAATGCTTTCCATCTTCACTTTTAATCCTGGATAACCCACAACTTTACCTTCAGACACCGGTGACAGGGATCAGAAGTTGAAATACCATTTGCGAAAAGTCATTTGCGTCTATCTAACAAGAAACTGAACCCTGACCTAAAGAATGACTTAATGTTTGGATAATTAAACAATGGCGATACCAGCTAAATGCATCATTCCTCACCAATAGTCTCCTCCAGCCATACACTTCTCATAGATGGGCCCATCCAGTTCTTTGGCATCAGGAAAGATGGTCTCATGGTGGATGATGATGGTCTTGATGATCTCGTTGACATGGGCTTGACAGGACACCTGGTCCTGGCTGTCTGGTGTGGGCATGAGTGTAGGACCGAAGCATATGGCCAGGTTGTATGGGTCCATCATGTTCTCATCACTGTACTGAGACAGGCTGGAGGGAGAAGGGTGGATGGATGGAGAGAGGCAAGAAAAGAGAGACGGTGACAAGGAGACGGTGACAATGCTGAATGACAAGATATAGCATTGGGAACAAGATTTCATTTTCTGACGTGCTAAGTAAATAAAGATGGATTTACTAGTTTGTGTGTATTAACTTACTGGTTCAGGAAGGCGAAGAGGTAGCGCATGACGATGAGGACTGATCTAGGAATGGTCAGGAGGATCTTACGGATGTACAGCGCTCTCTCATACAGGTTCTCTATTCCTAGGGCAGCAAAAGAAGAGTGGAGAGGGTATGATGATACAGTAAAATGCTGTAATACAAGAAGAAAATATTGTTAAATGAATAAAGATCCCTTTTCCGTCCTTCCAACGCTGCTGCACATCAAACACATCACCTTGCAAAGTCGTACATTTAAGACACTCATCTATCAATGACGTCCACATATTGATTATTGCCACACGATGTCCCAGCATACAAACACAAGAGCATAATGGAGCTGAGCCAATTACTTATCAGATTTACTGTAAGTCTCTGGAGGACCAGCACAGATTTACTAATGCAGTGATATATAAAATGTTTGTGTGGAGGCTACAGGAAATGTAACAACTGTGGTGGTGACCTTCACCTCAGCCTGTCTTCCTGACACCACAGAGGAAGAAGTCAGCACTATTGGTGTGTAGATTTTCCTGCTTTTAATGAAAACAGCGTCTCTCAAAAAAAACATTATGTCAAGTTCTCAATTCTCTTTTTTTCTGCCTTGCAGAAAAGAGAACATAACCCACAAAGGAAGTCATTTTTTCCTCAATCAACATGTTTATTGCAGGAACATTATAATAACTTTAAATGAAAGAATTGAAAACCTCTCATATTGTGCAACATCAACATGCTGGAGAATGCCGACCTTTATGTCTTCCATTACTATCTCATTTGTTCTGCTGTGGCTTTTGAAGCAGCCTATTTTATTTGGCTGAGCTGGGCCTCTGCTGGATGCTAAAAATAGCTCTGTCACCCTCCAGCCACTTTGAGCCATCTGGGATTTGGGCTTCTGGGATACTTGTGATGTATTTCATTTTTCATGAATACCTAACTAGGATTCTGCAAGGCTCCTGAGCACTTCAGAAGCTACTATTTAAAGATCTACTCCAATGTACGTTCATACATCACCTACAAACACACGTGTGAGCACATCTGCGCAAAACATCCCTGCTGCAAATTCCAAAATGAAAGATATCAGTAGCTGCAGAACGCTGCTTTGGTGAAAAAAAAAAAACACAGTCAACTGGGAGCAGTTAAATGGAAAAGTGATCTTGTAGCTGGGCTGAGCTGCTCCATATGGAATAAGCAGAGGGTTTTTAATATGGAGCTTGCTGGGCGTTCAGCCCACACTGCAATCACTGGCATGTTGAGCTGGGGAATGTAAACAGGGAATCCCCATCACTCATTCTGCACAAATGTGTAAAAGTACACCCAGGAAACACACACAGACACACTTTGCACACTCGCAAGTACACAAAACCCTGCATGAACATAAAAACACACAAGAGTACAGGGCACACATAGCTGCACGAGGCATTACAGCACATGTTGTGTTCATGTGACTGCATGTTCAATTGTTATTTAACAGAGCCTAAACGTCCCTCTTGTAATGTCTTAAAAGATCAGAACAAGCCACACAAAGAGCTGACTGATCTGTGAACTGACTCGCAGTAAAATGACAATGTGACTATTCTTATGAGGACTTCAGTGTAGATTCAGCTCTGGATTCCAGCGCTGCTCAGTACTGTGGACATTTAACATTCCACCACAGTCCTGTAAGCATGGCCGGCTTTGTGCCACTTATGACAGATAATAATCCTTCTCAGTACTCAACTAAATACCACAGAGTAGTATCAACAAGTGTCCAAAAAAAGTCAGAACCATTCTTCTGATAAAACACTTAAGATGGTGAAGTGAAGTGAAGTGTGTAATTTTAAAGAATGATGTGCTCCAAAAAACTAGACACAGTTTCGGGAAATGTATTTTCTCACTGTATGTGCTGTGTGCGCTAATTTGACAGAAACACATAAAAAGCTGCAAGAACTTATAATCCATCTGAGTGAGACTAATACGCCTTTTGAATGAGAAAAAAATTAAGATTCAATAGAAAATGCCACTATCAACAACAAAGAGATGCACTCAGAATAAGACTACCTCACTGATACTAAGGTAAAATGTGTGTGTTCTTACTGATGCAGGACAGCAGATCATTGAACCTCTCTTTGGGGAAAAGAGGGTTCTCCAGACCACGGAAGTAAAGTTTGAGAACGCCAGCCACCGAGTTGATGTCGTGATTATTCTCATCATCCGTCAAAGGGTCGTTTCCTAAGACACAGACAAGTGAGCATGTCAGTTAGATGTTCTTAATTATTAAAAATGCACATGATTATATGATTATTAAAGATTATGTGAATATACCTTCTTAAAAATTTAAAAAGCCTGGCTTAATATGGCCAATACAATGTGTGATGATTAGTTCTTAATTGTACCAGACATTTGGATTTAATAACAATGAGGCAAAGACATGTGGTTAATATAGTCAAACAGACATCTTGTACCTCTTTCAAATGAGTTCTTGATGTCATTGACTTCCAGCTGGGATCCAGATACACGAAATATTCCTTGATGTTGTAGGCCTGCACAGAGAAAGAGGGTACAGAAGGTAAAGGAAGACCACAGGCACACTCAACATGCTCATATGTCCGCTCTGACGGTCACAGAAAGAAACTTCCACACCCAGCAAATAAAGCCCATTTTTTTGGACCTAAGAGGCACATCCTGTCCGTTAAGCCCCTTCACTTTTCTAATTAAGGATAATTAATGAGTCGGGGAGACCGCAATCAAGCTTTACTTAAGTGTCCTCCAGCTGGGATTAGGACTTAATAAGGGGAGAGGTCAAGGGTCAGGAGGAAGCATAATTAGTCTGCTATTTGTCTCTTTTAGATTTTTCTTTGCACATCATCAGAGGTGCAGTGGACGGGCCTACAAACCTTGAGATTTCACTACTGTCACATCTTACGTGCTTAAGAGTGTACATTCTTTCATGTAGTCTTTTTCAATCTGCATTAAAAACAATATTGTAACTCATCACTTGTGCCGGGCTGAACTGTTTGTCTCACGGTATGCTTGGGAAGCTGGGTGGAATAGGCTGTGCCGCTGTAAACAGGATGGAATCTGCATTTTCCCATGACTGCAGCTGAAGTGGAACACACTGAAACCCCAACATGAAAAACTATGTACACGCCCAAACATTTAGCATCAATGAAGTGTCACTTCAGACAGACTTGAAATTGAGGCAGGTTGTTGACGTGTCTACACACTGTCCAACAACAACCAACTCACCATATAGATTTATGTAGCGAATACAGCTTTCAACCACACGGGGGATAGCCTGTCCAGAGTCCTTTAAAAGCAAAGAAAACAAAAACACCTAAATGTCAGATCATGTATAATTTGCAGTTTGTATTACATAAACAAGAGCTAGAGCCCGACTGATACTGGAGTTTTGAGAATGCTATCAATATCAATAATTGAGAATAATACCAATGTACATTATCCACATACAATATATTGGCTGATATTGCTTTTTTAAAATATACAATACGTTTCGATCAGTAAATGTAATTGAAGTAAAAAGTAAAGTGTGCAGTATCAAATGTATAGGATACATTTATTATGGCCGTTTAATTCTCTGCAATTTCTTTTTGTATATCTAAAAAATTGTAGATCATAGCCAATATAACTGTGATGCCCCAACATAGTTCCGGTGGTATCGGTATGTTGGTGTATTGGTCGGGCTCTAACAGAAACAGGTCAATGAAAAGTGATGTTAAAAGTTAAACATGCACACCCAGTGTACGTGAAGATGGTAGGTTAAGATACAAAGTGTTACCTTTTTGAGATCTTACTGAGATTGACTGAGTTGACTGACACCGGCTGTTTGTTCATGCCCAGTCTCCCACAGTAACAGATTATGAAATCTCATAAAAATCACTCACTAGCAACAACAAGCATGTACAATCCAGTTGTCCAACACATTTCAACTGGCACCTACAGTGTTGCTAAATATACTTGTTATGCTGGCTAACAAGTGCACCCTGTGTTTAAGTTAACAGGAACTTATCTTAAAGAGCCACACACTCGATATGGAGCTCAGGGCAGAAGTGGTGGGATGAGAGGAGCAGCACCATCTCCTTCAGAGAAAACACATTCCTCTCATGCACTTAAACGTGGACCGCACTCTTGTTCTGCATCGGTGCCAGCTGCTCCTGCAGTTCAGTGCTGCACAGGGACTACAGTACATGCTTTTAATGATACAGTGGATCTGTTTACAGCCCTCAGGGGTATACACACGGTCCAAACACAGCGCCCATGCCAAAATCGACTATCTAACGTTGGAGTGGAGCCGCAAGGGTTGAAGCACGGGTCTGGTGCAGCAGGATTATGTAACTCTATCCCTTTGGATATGAGAGACTGGGGATGACTGCTTTATATCACATAAATTCAATACCAATTTTGAAGTTGGAAATGTTGTTCATACTGGGGATTTCATAAATGAAACTAAAGATACAATTTGATGCAACCTTTCTGTCAGTCAATCTCAGTCTAGTCACAGAAATCAGGTAATGAATACAAGAAGGACAGATAAAGGAAATGAGCGCAGGCAAGCAGCATGGGCCCCCCCAAGATGCTTCAAGTTGTGTACCTGATGTCGAGTGTGTGAGTTCCGTCGTCCGCGGCTACAGAGAAGTGTCGCAAGAGCCAGAGATGGAGAGACAGAAAGAGAGAGAAAAGCAAGACCCAGATTAGGACCACAGCAGCTGCCCACCAAAGCTTTTACCAAGAGAGCATCCCTCATTCCACTCTGTGCTGGCATCAAACCCGAAAGTAAACAATAGGAACTGGACAGGACCAGGCAGGACTGGACACGGCCACCAGTGAGAGGCAGTGAAGAGGCCGGAGGAGGGAGGCAGCAACACCTTATCAGTCTGGCATCCGCTCCCTGACTGCCATTTATCCTGCTGTTTTTCACTGGCCTCCGCTCTTGCTCCTCCAGAGCATCTCTGCCAGAGCAGCCCAGTGATGCCAGGTCAGCAGTGAGTCAGGGGAGATGACGGAGACAAACATTTATCCCTCCAACTGCCGCTCCTCTCCTCCTGCACCCCTCCAAATCCATCAGTGCCACCCTTTATCTCAGATGCAGAATGCCAGCGCTCACTGACTCATGAGGAAGGTTTCCAAAATCCATCTTAGCACAAATATGTTAGAGGTTTTTTTGGTTTGGTAAAAGATAAATCAAAGCTAAGATGCTTTGGGGGAACCCACCAAAATGGCCAGAAAGCCAGAGCAAGACAGAAAATAGATAGGAGGAGGAGCAATGTCGAGCGGGCAGACTGGTAATCAGTACCTTGATAAATGACTCCATATTGCCATTAAATAACCTAACATTAAAAACAGAGCGGGGTCTAGCCCGCCGGGTGCCAGTGTGGGTTTTGAGCGGCCCATTGGGGTGTCTAGAATACAAAGAATGCAGCAAAATAAGTTAACAATGCAGCCTTTCCTTAAGAGGGGTTTATCTATTCTCCAATAACCTTTATGTCCTTCAAAAACTGAAACTAAAGTTGAGGCTCACTGATCTTTAAAACCCTTCGACTCAAGATGATGGACAGGTGAATGAGGGTATTTTCAGACACGGCTGGAACATGTGAATGAACTTTTTCTGTATAATCCTGTCTTTTCTTTCTCCACAAGATATCACAGGCCAGTGAAATATCAGTCCCACTGGGAGCATCGTCTGTGTCAGCAGCCACCTCATGACAGGCCCCGCGGGGTATTTGCCTCTTAGCTTGTGTGGATGTGTGTGTGTCTGTGTGACTTAATGCAGTTTGGCTTCGTGTGACCTGTAGGACTGAGATGAAAAGAGACCAGGGCTTACTTCCTGCTTCTCAGTCAGACAGAATTATTGTGCTAGAAAGCCCTGAAGATGTTTTAAATGTCTGATCATGCCAACACAAAAGATGGCATCTTTGCAATATAAATAAAACTGTTTCATCGTCGATTAAACTCCCAATAATTTTCTACATTGAGTTTTTAGTCTAGCCGATTTTACACATTTCAAACATTTGAGTTTCTTTTAAAAACAGAGAACAGTGTTGGATGTGAACTTTTTCTAGCAGTTCGGTAAGGGCAAAATAATCTTGAACCTATATTGCTGTGATTATAAAAAAATAACAAAAAAGATGACAAAGTAAAATATATTCTCTCTTCTTGATGACTGACTTCACACTGTGAAGCTCCAAAACTGTTGGGATTATACTGCTCATAAAGACCTGTATAATTAGTAAAACATAAAGAAGTAGCAAAGTAAAATCCAATGTAAGTGAAATATGCAGCTTCACTACAATTAGTGATCAACAATATTCACAATAATGGGAGTATAAGTTAATTCCACACCTGAACATAAATGATGCAAACTAAGGACTAAGGATTCTTATTCCCTCCTCCTTTGTGGTTCTTTAAAACTGATGCTAAAACATTTTAAATTTCATGCAAATCATTTTTACTCTCCTCTCGTCTCTTAGGCTAAACATTCTCCATTTTACCCCTTCTCACTCTCTTTAAAGGTCTGACATACGGTACAGATGGGAATGGCGAGTACAGTAACCCCACCACACGATACCAGGTTAGGCTTAGAAAACATGGAGGCCGGCACATCTGCTCAGCGCTCTCCAGGGTCTTTTTTTCCGGATTCTAACTACGGACTCTTCAGCTTTCATGGTCACAGAGTCCCATGAGAATTTCCTGGGGTGAACCTTGATGAGCTGCAACACTTCATGAACGTTTCTGTCACTGTTGAAAGGAAAGTGGACTGGATGGGCATCTTGAATATGCACAGATCCTGAAGTGTGAGGGTGTACTTTACCTTGTGGTCATGTAGTCAGCTCTGTGGCCTGCGGGCGAAGAGAGAAAAGAGGAGAGACGTGAGGGGAAGTTAGATGTGTGGACATGCCAGGACCTGTCTCTGAGGTCCCTGCGGTGCATTTTGCATACGCCTGGTGAAGCATTTGAAGCCTGCCATCTGTCCGCAACCGCTGGCCTCTTGAGCAGCACAAACAAAACCCATACACACACCTACGCACACAAACACACTCACACAAGAGCTCATAGCTTGCACAGAGACTTCTACAGGCGACACTTTAGCTACATTACAATTACAGTACAAACAAACATTTACCCGGCACACAGCTGTATGTTCACAACTGACGTAGGCACACAGACACACTAATCTTATAGTAATACACGGAGCTACAAGTTTGGACAGGCAAAGTAAGATTAAGCACAAAATAGCTTCCAAATGGTTTTGGAGAACAGGAGTAGTTTCAAATGTGTGGCCATCTGTTCCCATGAACAGGATCTGACCTGTCTGTGTGCCTGAGTGACTCATACTATACTTCAGATCATTGACAACAATATGATTAAGGAGCATGTGGGAGAAGCAGGAGGCTTTTCTCTTCCCAGTTAGCACACAGCTTCATTACTCATTAAGTGGACAGTTTGACTGAGACCACCAGGACTGCTGGTTAGAACAACGACTGACAGACACTCTTCTGGGTTGACGGTAGATTAGCTAAGGCCTCGAGGAGATCCCACCAATGTAGAACAAGGAAAACGCGTGGGTAATGACTGCCACCACTCTAATACACGGCAGTCCGTTAAGTTGGGCCCAAATCAATCACTAAGACGGATAATACAAATTCACAATCCCCATCAGCTCTGGCTTGCCTGGCTAAAACCCAGATTACCATCTAGGAGCTTTTACTAGTGGAAAAAGCAGGCAAACAATGGAAAGTTTGCCACGAAAACCACTAAAATTGTTCAGAAGGACTGCAGAAAATAATAATAAATAATAATTCAGCAACAAATAATTAGTTTTGTTGGATGTTTGGACACTGATTGCGGCTAATATTTTGGCTGGAGGAAGGCCATGCACAGACTGGTGACAGTGGATATGACATTGAGAGATTCAAGATCAAGTGCTCGTCACAGTTTGACAACAGGAACAATGGAAGAGCAGAGAATAAAAGTACAGGGATCGTGACTGTACCTTCACCAAGTGTCCTCTTCAGCAAGTCATGTTTGGCCTGCAGCTTGGAGATTAGATTACTGCCCTCCAGAAACTCCCGGAATTTCTGTGGAGAATTGAGAGTAATTACATGGCGGCCCAGAGTGCCAGCCAGAGCACCCGTTCTTAAGACAGCAATCTGTGATAAGAAAGCCAAGGGCAAAGGACACGCTGAGAGTCTTTTTAAAGCTGTTATCAGAGCATGTCCATCTTTAGACTGGAACAGGATAGCAGTTAGCCTTACAAAATGGAAATATTTTGGGAGAGTTGCCTTTCTGCCAGCTGATCAAAGATTCAGAAATTTAAAATTTGCATGCACAGACTAAGCATGTTAAAGTCCAGGTAAAAGCTTTGAGCTCATATTCTCAGATTCATTTGAAAGATTTTTGTAGCAGCTATTATTATATAATCAGACAAGAGAAATCTGGCATTTTCACCACTTTTAAAACATCTAAGTATAGAAAGCTAACCCAGCCAACAAAGAAAGAGATCTATTTCTATTTTCAAACAGAAATAAAAGACATTTCTGAAGTCTTTCCCCTTTGTATTTGCTCACTTGTATCCAACAACAGCCTCTTTTCTTAAACCACACATCTCCCCTCACCATGAAGTAGAACTGCTCAGTCTCCTGCTGGTTGGCCCTCCTCTTTGCAATGCTGGGTTTGCTGAGGTATGTCTCCGACACAGTGGACTTGACCGACTCTGTGGATCGGCTGTGGTGGAAACACTCGGACACGTCGTAGTCTTCAATGGTCACCATGTCCTGGATGGTGGTCAAGGTGGCCTCTGACGTCTTCTTGATCTGGAGACACAAGGGATGGCGCGGGAGAGAGTTAAGGAGTTAGTCAGAACAAAACCTAGCCTGCTTAAAAGCTCGATGTCATCTTTTCACTATCACAACGTTACCATCACTCATCAGCTTGTATCATCACACTCCCTAAAAACCTCTCTCGCCATGACACTGAAAAATTCAGGTGTTTTCTGACAAGACACACTTTTCTAAAAAAAATCCACAAGCCCTTAAACTTGACTCACAGCCAAAGCAATCAATTTGCATGCACTCAGAGGGGCCAGAGGTGAACAGTGCCGGCTGGAGATGGTACATTCAGTCGCAGGCTTTTAAGTTTCATTTCCATAACCGCCTCTTTCCTGTCAACAGGAGTGCTTCTGCCGGAGCTTATAAACGTCAGGACTTTGCTGAGCGTGCGCCACCACTTACTGCGAAAGATGTTCAGCCAGTGCAAGTGCTGCAGGCCATGACTGTGGCCAGTATATGATGAGGATGACAGAGGATGTGATAAACAAATGGGAGGGCAAATGAGTTTGTAACGGCTCCATAAAAGGTTTAAGAGACCAGAGCAGGTACACATCGATTGTGTAGCCTATAAATAAAGAACCTTATACGGATGTGATGGTCCCATGGAGTATTGGACCCACTGTTGGGTACAACTGAGATAAAAGTCCTAATATTTAGAGGGAAAAAATGAGGTTATAAGAATAAAGTTGCAATTTGCATAATAATAATAATAATAATACTGTTATAGTATAAATTGGACAAGAAAATGCATACTTTTATGAGAAAAGTGAGTAAAAAGTCAGCCCTGTAAAGCTTCACTAGCAGTGCTTTGAGCTAAATGTTAACATCAGCATGCTAACAAGCTATTAGCACTAAAAACAAATCACAGAGAAAAAAGTCATCATATGCAACTTCATTTGCTTCATTTGATGATATGTAGAAATATATTAAAACCAGGGTCAGGGTCAGTCAAGGGTCAACACAGTGGCCATTCTGCCTGATGTTTAATCTTTCAAATTCACTGACAAACCCAGTTTGCTACAATAATATCAATATAGAGCCATATAGGCTAGGGGCATTTGCAAAACAAGAAGAAACAGGAATATGAAGAAATAGAGAAAAAGATAAAAGAGACAAACAGACAAGGAGGAAGAGTCTCGAGGCTGTCAAGTGTGAGCATGACTCACTGATGTGGAAAAGCTGCAGAGGGAAAGAGGCCATGCTGATGTAGAAACACCAACAACCACCTCTCAGGGAAAAATTCTGCAAAATGCTCCTCTTCATTCAGCAGAGACTGTGGGGGAGAGTGGAGCGCTGTGACGACTGCAGCTCAATTGTGTGATTTTAAAAGGTGGGGGCACCACAGGTCAACGGGGCCCTGAGTGAGACACAGCTGGAATTTCTCCTAATTATTCTTAATGGTCTGGACCCCCACTCAAAGGTAGTGACCCCATTTCTTAGTTATTAAGTGAGCCTGACCTCAGTGCTAATGAAAGAACAAGGTGGATTCCTGTTGAAACTGAACACAGAGACAACAGTGGATTATAGCTTGTTTCTTAAAATGGCTTGACCTGTGACTCATTTGGCCTTTAGAAAATAAAAAGAAGAAAAAAAACACCCGAAAGGCAAGGTGGCCTTTATCTCTTTCATGTGCAACACTGATGGATTACAGCGCTGACACACATGCTTAGTTCATAAAATGTGGATGTAGTTACAGTGTCATCCATACCATCGTGAAGCAAAAACATTCTGCAGGTTGGAACACGGCTAATAACAGCATAGAAAAGGAAATGGGGGATTCTGCGATCATAAAACTTTGCAAAAACTTCATCCAGTCTTGTGACAACGGTTTTTGTGATCAAAGGAGTGATTTTCTGCACAAGAATGAGAAAGAACCGGCTGCCTTCAACAGACAGAGAAAACAAAACAAAAGTCTACACTGTTACTTTACATGTATGCGCTGAAGTTTTATCCACAGCAGGTCCCTAAAATAGGTAACATCCTGCGACTAACAGTCATTAGTTGTGAGTGTGTTTGGTCTCTCTCTATTTCTCTCCCCGTGTGCCTGGCAGCCTCATCCATGGTGGACCCCGTGGAGGCGAGAGGCCCAGCTGTCATCATGAAGACAGGACCCATGCATGCGAGAGAATCGCTCCCAGTGAAAAAAGCTGTTGAGTTTATCCATTATTCAGCAGACGAATAGTTACCAGTGTTCACTGCTGGGCTCAATTACAACAGAGCTCTTAGTGAGACTCGCTGGATTTGGCCATTAGACCCTGCAGTGGCACAACAGACCTGGAGAGTAGTCCCTGTGATTGAATTAAGTTTGTTTATTTACAATAAAGAATCATGACTCAGGTATTTCCTATGGTGCCAAACAGACAGCCCACCAATGCGATGGGCTAAGCATCAGTCTGGTTTACTTACAGTCATCATTTACTGGACTGAAAATAACTTCTGGAATGTCAAAATCCAAAATGATTCCACTCGTCACACTCTGAAGTCAATGTTATTCTGCAGGGCAGCAGTACAATATCACTAACAGTTATTTCAACATCTATCATCACGTCTCAAAAGGCAGACTGCTGTCCATAGCTTTCAACAGACCAAGTAGTAAGTGTGTAATCTTCTGATCATCCGGCTATGAGCACGCGCACACATATTCCCACGCACACATACAGGCTTTGATGTGTCTCCCTGAGATTTATCTGAGGAAAAACAAACACTCCCTGCAAAGGAGATGGTATTAGATTGCCAGAGTTTGGTGTGAAACGTCTTGAGAATACGAAAGAGAGCAGAGGAGGAAAATCAGCCTGTGTGAGCTCTGGCTTATACAGAGGCAAACAAGATCTAAATGGGCAGATTATTACATCTGAGAAGGGGATGAACCACGCTGACTGACTGAGGAGCTGAAATGAACGATGTCCTCGGAGATCAGACTTTTTTAATGAAAAAATATTCAATTGTAATTTCTGCAGTGAGGCACCCAGCATGGCTATGTTAACACCAGCCCCATAGTAAACGTGAAATCAAGAGCCTTCGAACCCCAACCACCACTGATGCAGAGTACATTATTCAGCAATGTTTTCTTTCACCGTTTAGGAGTCAAAGAGGTTCGAGGAAACAGCTGCACTTCTATTAAGCACTGCCCTGCAGCCTTTCCTGGCCGGATAAAGACAGATTCTCTTTTCTCTCTTGTACATTTGACAGTCGTGCTTATAGGTCGTTCACAGCGCTTTGAAAGTTCATTTTTCAAGGATGTATCTGGCACGCCGTGCCCGGGAAGAGAGGCCATCTGGTGATCCTAACACAAGGCAGCAGCGCCCTCCAATTCTGACCCACCAGGACATCCGCTTCAGCGAGGCAGGCGGAAAAGGACATGAAGCAACCAGAGCTTGTCATCATACCCTCACACACACAAACACACTCACACACAGGGGTGAGTGTGTATGTGCCCAGTTGTCGAAATACTGTACAGACTGCAGGCAGTGTGAACTGTGATGACACCAGCAGGACCCTGACCAGACCTGATGCACAGCATAAAACAACACAAAGGCAGGGCTGCAACTAAGGATTATTTCCATTATTAAGTAATCCGATTATTTGTTCTATGAATCTGTTAATCATAACTTCTATAAAATGTCAAAAAATAGTATACATATTCAATTTAGATTGACATAAAACACCATAACCTCTGAAAGGCTGGAACCAATGAATATTTGGAATTTTTGCTTGAATAAATGCCTAAATTGGTGATCAAACTTCACAGATTAAGTTTCAGTTGATTAACTAATTGATTAATTAAACGGATGTTTCAGCTCTAATAATTAACACGGAAATAAGCTCAAAAACGCAGCTATCCTATCCATCATCGTTCATTCCAGTAGATATATTTTAAATCAATTCCACTAAAGTGTCGAAAATATGATGAAAAGGAACCTGAAGTCACAGAGGATGTAGACGATGTTGAGTGACATGCTCCTGTGTTTCTGTTAGTCTTTGTAGCGGGATAAAAGAAAGCGCCAGACGTGGAGGGAGGGAGAGAAACAGAGAGAATAAAGACAGAGAGCTCATAGAGGGGAAGCAGGTCAGACACGATACAAAAACCAGCCTGATGGGCGTGATTGCATTGATGTGAAACTGTGGCAGTCGTGGTATTTCTCCCATACTGGCTTTTGTTTTATAGAAAATGTCGAGTTACTTGTCTGCATGCTGCAGACATATTAAAACAATACAGCCCGAGAAGCAGAGATGCACCTCCAATGTCAAAACAGAGCAGCGCAGGACAGGTTTGTGCAAATAAAAGCGAGACAGTGAATTCTACCGGTGGGAGCAAAAATGGAGGCTTCACAGAGAGGGTTTGATGGCTACCTGCAGGGCATGAGGGAGAGAGGAAAATACAGAGTGTGCATGGTTGTGTCTATGTGTAGTATGTATATGCAACAAAAACTTTGATTTCTTCAGAGATCAGCAACTATTCTCTGTCTCACCTTGGATGACTTCTGGCTAAAGTTAACTTTGTTAAACAGTTTTAATGTTCTGCAACTGTCAGCATCTTGCAACCAACAAATAGTAGCATAACTAAACTCCTGCATCTCTGGCAGACGACAAAACTGGAGCAACAGAGAATAGTTTTGACACGTTTGACATATCTAAACCCCCACACGCCACAAATACCTGTATAATGTGTTGAATTTATTTCTGCCATATTACCTCTTCGTTCTCAATCTTCAGAGTAGCCAGGCGAGACTGTAGCTGCTGGAACCTCAGGATGAGTTCTCCGTTCACTGGTGGCTGCACTGAGATCTGACACACCTGGAAAAATAAATTAGGAAATACACAGTCAATGATCAGGTAACTGAAATGACACCCTACTGAAGGAAAAAGGAGGCCTCTGGTTTAAACAGGATGCAGCTACCCAAATTCTTTTTCAATTGCAGAGCAGACCGCAGTGACTTTTGCCAACTGAATGCAGACAGCCACACAACAACAGCTAGTAAACAGACATGATATCAGCGTTGGCAGTGCCAGCCAAACACCGAAAAACTCATAACACATGTTGAGCTACATGACTGCAGGGGGAGAATTAACACATGATTTGTCAAATTCAGTGCCCCATAAAACCTGATCCGGCAGCCAACATGCAGTAAAACGCTGCACTTAAGCCACTGACAATCAGACCTCATTAAGCCTGAGACTTTTTAATCAACTCCAAATTCACTTCCATGTTGTTTTTGGAAACAAAACATCATAAAATTCATATGGTTAATTTTTGCAGTTCCTCCTCCAAATACAGTTCCATATTACCATACCACCAATGCACAACTGCTTTTCACCATCCCATCTACTACTTTTTACTGAACTATGTACCTCATCTCCCATATGAGGCTGAAACTCAAATTTTGTCGGTGGACAGAAGGCCGTAGGGTACATCTCCATGAACCTCTGTCGGTCACTCCGTGGGTCCAGACTGTCCACGGCATTCTCTATGATGTCAAGACCCTCGTGGCGTGACGTCTCGAGGTTGTATTCGGCTGACAGGTAGGTCCGTAGGGCCCGGTTCAGACTGGCATGGTACCCCAAATCACAACACTGGAAGAGGGGCAAGAAGAGAGTGAATGTCAGATGGAAAATCAGGAAGATAAGTTGTTATAATTTGAAGAACTTCTAGGAAATAAAAACTTGAAATTTAAAATATGTTGCATGTTTCCAGCAGCAAGTTGAAAAGGCAGAATCCATAATCCACAAAACAAAACGGTTGCCCCACCACCAAAATCCATCAACCCTGGACAGAAACCTACTATGACAGGAACACAATTTATCCTACAGGTCTCAATACACCAACCAACACAAGGGCTGCAAACAACAATTATTTTTTAATTTTTTAATTATTTTCATTGACAACCTACTGATTATTTTCTTGATGAATTGTGCAGTCTATTAAATGCCTATTACAAGCTCATGTCTTTAAATTGTTTTGTCTGATCAAATGCCCAAACCTACAAAATGATTGCTACACATTTACGATGACAGGAACATGACTTATGTACGTGCAAATATACCTGTGATTGACTCATATATGGTCATAAAATAGGATTTGACCTTTAAATAAGACAAATTTCACAATTTAACAGTCCAGCCCTTTCTGAGCCAGCAGTGAAGCCTCCATGTTACATAATTTTACCTCAGTGTTAATTAATGTTACCTCCAGGATCTAATGCTGATTTTTAATATCAAGAACCTTGTACAAGATCTCTTCTGGGAAGAAAGACATGCCCCAGGCACCAACAAACACAGACAGACACAAACATGATAACACTACCAGCCAGTTTGTACACTTTGTTTCGACTATAAAAAAATCTCCTTCATCAATGAACGAATGTGTCAGCCAGCACATACAACTCACACAGAGTGCAACACACACACACACACACACACACACACACACACACACACACACACACACACACACACACACACACACACACACACACACACACACACACACACACACACACACACACACACACACACACACGAGATGTGAAGGCTTGTGAGCAAAGCAGGGAGGGGGGTAATTTCAGCACACAGCATGCCGTTGAATAGAGGTTGCATTTCTCTTCTCTTTCAGTCCTGCCTAGAATATAAAACCCCCAAAACGCTTGCTAAAAACCTGGCCTCCCTTTTCCTCAGAAATGGCAGAGAAAATGGTGCAGTAAGTTTATTTCTCTAACAAGAAAATAATAACACAGGTGAGCCACCTCATTAATAAATCTAATTTTTCAGTATAGAAACAATCTGCTTGCAACCCTGAGTAGATTTAGGTGTGAGTTCTGTAGTGAATGGAGTGACGACCCACAGCAGTAGGCTACGTTACAAAAAGAAACTAGGTTTCAGGTTCAGGGTCACTCCTGCTCTGTATTCAGACAGTCTGAAAGATGTGGAAACATTTCAAAAAGTGAATAAATGTCAGGAAAACACAGCAGAACTGAATATAATATGTGGGTTTTCAATAATGACATGAAGAGAAGAAAAAGAGGAAAGAACAGTTTTCTTTACAAAAGTTAATAAGCTGCTTTAATACTGTCCTGCACTGTAATTTCCATCCCACAGTCTGGTGCTCTTAGATCTCTTTTATATCAAGCCTGACTGCTAAAGTCATCAGTCTCTCCTCTGATCATGATTTTAAATCTCTTCAAAAGGTCTGTGAAAATACCCCTGAATAGCAATCCTCTGCATGAAGAGCACAAAGAAACTTATTAAAATCTACCTTAGGAAGTGGGGGATGGTGTCAGTAAACAGAAAGATGACTGCAAAGTGTGTGTTCAGTTCTGTTGAGTATCCTCAAAAAACAACTTTTTTCCAGTCTCACTGGAGACAAACAACACTGAAGATGAAGCCGTCTCAGAACAGCGCTGATAAAAGCATGTGGTTTTATATACTTACATCAATTAAGTCCGACAGGTCGTGGATGTAGTATTTGAAAACGGAGGAGTTTGACGCTTCCAGTGTCAGTAGGTACTCGTTCCGGGCTTTGATCGACTTCAGCTTGTTCTCGGAGTACTTGGCTTGACGCTGATGAGAGAATTAGAGGCAAGAATGAGAAACAGACAGCAACAGAGTGAACGAGAGAAGATGAATTTAATGAGTCGAGAATTGCCTTTTTGACAAGTGATTGTGCTTTTATGTCTCTGCACGCACTTCGCGTCTCGGAGCTGAGACTGGATTACTGGCACAACAACAGCTTCAATAAACATTAGAGGAGAAATAAGTTAAATTATGTTAAAAATAGCCAAAAAAAGGGGAACAAGAACGAAAGAAGAAAAACCTAAACTAAAACAGCCCGTGTCCTTCAATTCAACTAGGGTACCTCAGTCTGAGCCATCTGTCTTTGTCCTACACTTCCTCTCTACCAGAGACAAATACAAGGCTGTTAGTCACCATCCACTGACCAATGGACTCTGACTCACACAGGCAAATCATCCATATTTTAACACTTCCTGAATGCATGGCAGGAAGAGTCATGTTAAAAGGGCAGTTCAATCATCTGCCACATAGATGTAACAGAAAACAGGCCTGTTCTGAGAAACAAAGCCTGTTTTGATTTGACAGCGCACAGTGTGTTTTCCTTCACTCAGGTCAGTGGGACCTCTGAGAAAAAGCTGTGCTGTGGCCCAAAAAGCAGGATCAGATATTTTGTTGCATACAAACTACGAAAAGAAAATGTGTAATGGAAAAGTGAATGGTTTGTTTACTAGTTTAACTACAAATTGGATCAGATTAAAATAGTTAAGGACTGTGAACCCCTGGCTTTTTACCTTCTCTTTCATCTTTTCAATCTTCTTCACAGAGCTGCGCCTCTGGTATTTGTCCTCCATTCGGATGCTGAAGACTGGATCTCCCCTGCCAATCTGCTTTTCCTCCTGTTTCTCAGCCTCCTTCAGCTTGCTCTCTGCACTGATGCTCTCCGAGTGATACATGTGGTAGGTCTTCATCACCTGGAGATAAACAAAAGTGTCAATAAGCTGAAGAGAAAGTCATTGTTGTAAGGCATGTTTCAGTAAGTCATTATTCCCTTTTTTAAGACTAGCAACATCCTGAAACTGCTGTGCTGTGTTTGTTAAAAGTTGAGTTTCAGGTCAGTGGCTGAGGTCAGAGGTCAGAATAATTCATCTTCATAGTTGAGACTGCCCTTTTATAACACACAGACATCCTTTGACCCGCTCATTCATTACAAATCGATTTAACTCATCTCACAGCAGGCAGTTCGTCTCTCCCTAAACCACAAACCAAAGACAGATTCTCTCCAGCCTTTTTATAAGAGGCGCTCATACGACCACAACAACCACAAATCACTGCAGCTAAATCTAACATGCTGCCTTCAGGGCTCAGTGTTTTTAAGAAAAAAATACAGACAGAAATTTTGGTTTACCCTCTAATTTCGACATGAGGTTATTAAGAGGGAGGTTGGTTTATTGGTTTAATAAGGTTTTATTCAGATGGTATTAAAGTTCGGCTTAAGCTGTAATGGGTCCATGCCACAAGAAGACCTCCTGGGATTTGAGGACTAACATTTTTCGTTAGGTCTAAAAATGTATTTTTCTAAAGGTAATAACGGCAAATAAGTTGAACCCTTTCGCCCCTCGTGTCATCATACTGTAGCTATTCAGTACAAGGGAAATGCATTACCTTGAGAGTGAATGGCTGATTAACACTACTTCCTATGATTTGAGTCATCTTCATGAGAAGAGGTGGGAGTATGAGCATTACTAATACATGAATCCATTTAGCAGTGACTCAGTTAAGTAGCAGGTAAACCACAATGAAACACAAACAATGAACTCTTCAAAAGGGCAGAGAGATTATAAAAGTCTTATTAACACTGGCTAACATCTTCGGGAGAGGGAAGAACAAATCTGCTCCGAGGACAGTTCAGATGAATCACTGGCTGTAGGAGAAAAGAGGCTGAAGTCCTTGAAACTAATATTCAGTCATAAGGAGAACTCACTCAAATGAACAATTGCCATTTATAGTATTATTATGGCTTTTTATATAAAATATATAAATAAAGTATATAAAAAGTATACAGCATGCAATAGAAAATATTATACCATCACCTGCCACTTAGACACTTTAATCATTATATACACTAAATTATTTTCACAAACAAAAGCAGGTGCACTATCAAGAAAAAACTGCATCCACCAAAATGTTTCATCTTATTTGTCCTCTCACATCTCACTGCCATTTGGAGCTGCCAACTTACAAAGTGTCAACAGCAAAATACAAGCTAATCCAGACCTCACAGAGGTCACAGAGTCATTAGTGCACAAGGAGAGGGGAGAAGAGTTTGTACTGTATTCTACTACCTTTAACCTTTCCAAATAATCAACCCAACATTAAAACAGGCAAAGTATGAAAGTTTTTCTTTGTATGCTTGTTTAGTCATCTTTGTGTTTTTTTTGGGGAATCTAATTTGTTCAAAGCAGCAAATAAACTATATATGTGTGAGAAGCTCCATGAGCCTGGGTTAATGGCAGCTGGCCAAATGTACTGAACTGAGAACAAAGGCAGAAAATACATTCAAACTCCCAGGAGAACGTAGCAATATAGAGCACCAGTGGTTTAACCTGGAATGAACCAGCTCCAGCAAATTATAGCTCCACAACCTGTGTATGCAATACACTTGTCTGCACAAAACCTCAACTTCAGTACACATAGAGACTCACCCATCTCAAAATCTAAACATCTTTTCCCCCAAACTGAGTTATTTCTGTTTGAGTGGAACAACGGAGCAAAGCCTGATTTGTCGAGGCCCTCTGCCTTTGGTCGGGTTTGACCTAACTGGAACCAGTTTAGAGATGGGTGACTGACCTTGGGCCCTGTACTCCTCACTTACTGGTCTGGACTCTGCTTCTGCTGTGTTTACTTTGGTGTTTCATTTAGAGGGACATATTTAGAGATGGAGCAGACCTGTTATTTCATTGGCAGAAGCTGACATTGGGACTGGCTGTCTGATGCAATAGCTACCCTGTGTGTGTGAATATGTGTGAATATGTGTGAATATGTGTGAATATGTGTGTGTCCTCCCACAGGGGCTAAACCAGGTCAAATCTGGAGTGTGGACTGTGGTGAGAGTGACACACATTGAGTTTGGAGTAACACGTTGTTGTGTTTGGAGCAGCGCAACCATCAACAGGAAGTGTAACCACAGTGATCCACTATAGTGACTAACTTCAGACTGTAGCAAACTGAACACTTCATCACTCCATCTCTTGGGAAGCAACAGCAACTGCCTCAACTTGTATCTCCATCTGTGTACATCCCAGGTTACCATGACGATCAATGAGGGGGATAAATTGTTTGTTTGTGAGGAATTACATGGCTTATAACACACAAAAACACACAGATTACAACTATGACTGAAATCCATTTTATTTGTTTTACTTTAATGACATGTGTTTGTTGCTGCTGTCTGTCAGTGAGTTAAGGTAGCTTATATGACACTATGTATGCCCGTATCATATATCATATATAAACAACATGGCTTATGAGCTACACTATAAGCAATAAAATCAAGCCTTGATTCCATCCAGTCATCCTGTGTAAGAATACACCAGCATCTAATAGTCCAACAACATCTGTGAAGCATTAAACTACACTTTAACTGAACAGGGCTGACTGGGGCAATTAAGGAGGTGGAATTAGCTATTGATTCATGATTTAAAATCCTTTCTCCACCAAGGTCGGAGCTAGACACAGACAAACTACTTACAGCAAAGTCACTGCATGGAGGAGATGAAATGGCCTTTATAGAAACCAGACTGCAGATATGCAGCTTGTTTGATGAAGAAATTTGATGGTCTGGTTAAATGTTTAACCCCTGGGTTCAAAGCTCGGCAGCCTCTGCTACATTTACCATTTTGTGTTTTTTAAAATATACATGGCATGTAATTGCAACATCCCTGATTCAATGCTGACTGGGGACCTCTGTTGCATGTAATCTCTCTCCTTTGGTATGCCATCTGTCCCTACTGTCAACTACTGAATAAAGGCAACAATGCAAAAAAGAGGAAAGAAAATGTATAAGGCAAGTTGCTATTTGGCTCCTACCCCCTGGTGTGGCTTTGCATGAATCTGTTTTGAAGAGCTAGAAAACACAGCTGATACGAGCCCTTAAAACAGAATACGACCTCTAATGAGTCAAGCAAACATAAAGTTGATAGTTCAGTTTAGATAACCAGCTCACGAGGGAAAAAGAAATTGTGTTTGCCTACAGCTTGAGCAATCTTTGGTCGTAGTCTATTTGCTTGAATGTTGAATATTTCATCCTGCAGATATCTTTAAGCTGCAGGGTTAAAGACTTCAAGCTGTTACAAGCAGTTAGAAGAGAGTTAGCTCTGTGCTATAAACCAATCTCAACCACAGCAAAGACAAATGTACTTAAGAGCATTAGTTTAAAAAAAAGGCAGTCATTACTACTTACTGTGTATAGCTCATTAAGGACCTTCATTAAGTCTTCCTGGAGCTGAAAGGCTATTTCCTTGCTCTGAAAAGAAACACAGAAGAAGAAAATGATGAGATCGTGACAGCAAATCAGTAATTTGACAGGGTAAAATACACAAAGAATATGTCCCAACACAAATGATAGACAATACAAACCAACACAGTGGCACCATGCTGTCAGTCCTGTCTGCCAAGTTGAATTTCCATTATAAATCCCTGCAGCAGCTACTTTTATTGAAGTGAAACCTGACAACAAATGCACACCACTTACTGTATTTTAGGTATTATATGAATGGTGTACAACGACCAGACATTGACCCATGGTTTGAATGATACAAACCCAAAACAGAACAGTGGATTTATCATCCTGTGTCAAATACAGGGTTTCTGTGTGAAAGTGGTATCAATGTCACCGCGGCTTTTCCACTCAAATCGTCGAACACAGCTTGAGTTTCACCGTCCACATGCTCAACACATTATCTAGCTTCTACGCCTCAATGTGAAAGATTTTTCCCAAATATGTTAACTCAATCAGCCATGCCACAAGGCTGAGTCAGTAACACTATCACACACACACACACATTAATACATCTCACGGTAGTGGGATACAGTTTAACAGTAATGCCGTGATGGATTTAGAGGGGCTTTCACTATTAATTTAACTATGGAGCTCCCATATTTCCTTCACACTGACTCATATACTGTATCACATGTTTATGAGATTATGAGTCATGACAATGAATTTTTGATCTCTCTACTACAGTTGATACCACGCGCTGCTACCTGGATGATGTTACAGCCTTGGCCCGCACTCCAGGTCTTTCTTTAACCCAATTATGCTCAGACAAATCTCATTCTGGGAGCCGCTCCCTCCAAAAGGCTATAAGAGGGTTCTGAGTAGGTATTGAACCACCTACAGTAGTGGGTTAGAGTGGTGATTTACTTCTGATCAAGAATGGAGTGCATTGCAGATTTCTTAAAGGGCAATGATGGTCAAAAACAAATTAAAGCTACAACTGCAATTGCTAATTATTAAAAGCACACCGTGGAGGTTGTGACCAATAGAAATAGTAGAGTGCTATGGAGTGAGGTTTTATATATGGGTCCCTATTTTTTTTATCATGCATGAGCACAAAGCAGCTGGTTTCAAGCTATTATGTTGGTCGTTTGAAAGCTAGAAACAAAGGATATAAACAATTAAAAATAAACAAGGAATTAAAAAATAAAGTTGGCTACGGAAATGTTTTCTAAGGAAGGAAATGCCTTCATCACATTTGTTAGACCTCCTGAAATACACAATGTGTTTCTGGTGTAAAATACCATTGTTTATTTACAAGAAAACTCTTTAAACACTTTAAAAGATGCTGTTGTACACATATTTAGTGCACAAGTGTGGAAAAACATGGAGGATTTAAACATTTTTTTAAAGTAGATTCTAAAATATGCATTAAATAGGATTTATGGGGATTTCTGAGCCATGTTTTTATACTTGTTGCAATTCCAGAATTTGTGAGCAGTCTGTCTGCTGGTATTAGCTGCAGGGTCTGGAGCATATGCTGAGGTAATCTGAAGCAAACCAGCTAACAGCAGGGCCAAAAAATTCCAAGCACACATTTCTTTGTTACATTGCTTGCATTTGGTTGTATATAAACTGTTTTCAAAAATCTAGTAACTACTAAAATCTTGAAGTAGTCTTTATGGCAATAATACCCTAACACTGAACAATGTATGGGATTTCCTGACTTGAGATTAGATGAGTCACACCTGCTCTGTGGCCTCATGTGGGTGTTGGCAACAGATAAGAAGCTCATTGAGGTCACACACCTCATTGAATCAGATGAGTTTACAAATATGTTCATTCTGACACACAATGAGACCAATTTTCAGTTCTGCTGAACTCTTAAAATGCAACAGACCAAGACAGAAGGAATCTTGTAAAAACCTGTGTGCACAAACGCTCACTGTTGGTCTTCACCAGTGGCTCACAGGTAAAGCTGCACAATGTCCAAGTATATGAATAGACAGCAAAGAGGATTAAACTCTCAGTTAGCGGGTGCCCGGCTGGTGTCTGAAATAAGAGTGTCATGCTGGGTGACCTGACCGATTGGCAACATTTTCCCAACCATCACCTTGTCTGTCAGTTCCCTGATTTGTAGTTCTTAGCTAATCAGAGGAAAAACCGCCTGTAAGCCTGGATAACCAGAGCTTTAGAAGAGTCAAACCCTAACTCCGGTGTGTTTGAGAATGGAGTTTAGATAAGGAGCTACAGAAAGGTCTTTTTGGTAAATTATAGATTGATCTTGTCCTTCAGTTCATGCTAGATCTGTAATTGTATCTTGCAAAAGATGACAGAACCATATCTTAAGTTAACTACCTATCAATTGTAGATTATTACATATTACAAAGATAGTAAAGACACAGGCCTTTACCTGTGGGAAACTCCATTAGCAACAGTTGGTTCAGAGGACAGAACCTTTGACTATCTGTCAGATCTAACACTTGTCAGCTCTTCTCCATTGAGAAGACTGGGAAGTGATCCAGAGCTCAATGAAAAGCCTTCTCAGTGATCACATGAGCCGGAGAAAGCGTGGGTGAGAGAGAGAGAGAGAGAGAAGCAAAGACAGAGATGAAAGTAAAGGGGCATTGCATTCAAGACATGATTATAGGGCTTTCACCAGAAAAGCTACACCTAACATACAGAAATGCTTTTAATAACTCTAAGATAATCTCTCCTTTGAAAGTGTCGCCAAAAGTAACACGGACAGCGTATACCTCAAATCACCAGCAATACGGGCTGTTTACTAAATGCTGTGTTGTGTAACTGATGTTGTTGATTTAATTTATGCAACTTAATCCCTTTCATTTTAAAGGAATCTCAGTTGGGGTGGGGTGGGGGGGTTGCTATTTGGTCTAAATTCATTAAAAAGATCCTACAAATGGGTTTCCCCTTTTAAGCTCATACCATCTGAATTCCAACCACATTAGAAAGATGAAACAACCCCAAAGAGGAGAAACCAAGTCAGCCTTTAGGGAGTGGTGGGTTTCATATTGCCACTGACATAAATCATGGGATAGAGATGGCAGTTGTATACCCCGGAGGGCCCATGCGTGTGTGGCACTCAGCATAGATCTGAGTGCCTTGTCACTATAACACAGAGCCACAGTTAAGGTACACAGTAGAAAGTCTGACAAAGTATTAGCTGATATTAGCTTCTGTAAAAAAAAACAAGCTTTGACCAGGTTACATAGATGTGCAATCTTTTATTTGAATGTCAGTCATTTGTTTAACTTGCAAGAGTGAGATGAGAAGATCAATGTGAGTCTAGTGTTTCTGCATTGAGTACAGAGCTGGAATCAGGAAGTTTACACAATGTGTCTAGCAGCTTCTATGGTTTCTCCTATAAGCTTAGAAGGCGAGCGGTGGTCAGCTGGCATTCTGTAACTTCACTGTAGTCCCACACACTGGTCCTTAAAGTAATTCATTTGTGAAAACCAAACACCTGGTGCAGGCTTCATCTCGGCCGTAAAAGCATAATAGGCCTTTTTCACAGAAGATATTTTGAATGGGCTTCGTCCTATTCAAGCGCCCCCAGTAAGTCACGACAGTGTGGCAGTGAGCCAGCATGAACAAGACCAGGACCCTGAAACTGAAGCAGCTAAATGTAATTCAGACATCATCCATTTCATTATTTATACCTGTGCTTTTCCTAGCATGAAATGTCAAAATACCTTCTATAAGAAATGCTTATTGTAAAATAAATACTATGCAGCACATCCTTTGCCTGTGGAAAAGTTCAAAACTGCCTCAAGCTTTGGGAAATTCACCTTGTAGCAGCAGCCACAGAATGTGACTTCCATAAATAAAACAGGGCAGAGTAAAACAAAGAGCCGGTTGTATGAATAATGAAAACTGAATACATGTGATAAGATCTGTCCAAGCATAAAGAAAGAAAAAGAGGTCCACTACTTGACTCGAGCCAAAATGGGATGTTTTCTAAAAGAATTGTGGCTGTAGTTGTTTAAAAAAGTGACCACAATGCAGCAGTGAAGAAATAAATGCACATGCCAAACGGCAAACCGGTCAACTGGAGGATGTTGACGAACACACCAGGGCCACTCTGGGTCCTCCTCTGCTGTTACACCTCACGGCATGAGGCCTGAACATACAAGGAAATAAAAACACTGGTCTTTGATGTGCTGGAAGGATGACAACAGTACAGCTGTCTCCTCGAAACTGTGAGGGAGCCCACGTAACATGGGGGACTTCTCTGTTGTTTGTGCCTCGTTACTGAAGCTCTGCTGAGATCAAAGGCTCAGGGAAGCTTTAATTAGAGGGTGAGCGGTGTCTCAGGTCTCCTATGAACCGGGACCTCCCACCAGTCAGCAGTTTGTCTGCACAGTGTCACCTGATCTACTGAGAAATTGCATTGCAGAACTTTAAAGGGGCGACTATTACACAATGTGGTTAGATATTGCAGATTCCACAGCAATATTGATGCAGGTGGAGCGTGGGGGTACACTACCCTGCGTATTGTGAGGATTTGGCAAAGTGTCTTCGGAGTTACACTACAAAATTGAAATCAGCATTGAAGGTAGTCTATCATTATGATCATCAAAGTATGTTGAGTCAGTGGAGTAACATCTGAAAAATGTCTGTTTCACATCTGGCCTCATTAGTAGAACCATAAGCCTTTAAACACTATCAAAAGGAAATGACTGCTGCAGCTTCCTGTTTGTGTGGCTGGGGGTTCGGGTGAGTATTTAAAGACCACGCCCCCATACAATCAGATGAAACTACCGCCATCAAGACATGTTAATTACTTTGAGAACGAATAAACGAGCCTCACTTTTCCTTTTCAAATCGGGGTTGGATGAATTGGGCTATTGCAGTAAAGCGGAGCAAAAAATAAAGAAAGAGAGGAGAATCAGAGATAGAAAAAGTTGCACAAGCTAAACTGACACAAAGGCACTCCTCTGAAGAAAAGCCACTTTGTAATTTAGGCCTGTGGTGAGTTCATGTGTCTCCTGCAGCATAGGAGCTCATAATCTTCTAGGGAGTTGTCGTCTTTGTGGTGGAAAAGGCAGCAGAAGCCCGGTTTCAGCCATGAAGCCACAGTCTTCAGATGGGAGAGTGAAGGCATACTGATCTGAAACTGTGGTGACCAAGGTTCCTCTGCTCTAATTCACAAAACTAAACCACAGGAGCCCAACAGAATTTCAACCCATCAAACGCAAAGCTGAATATATACTGTATATCTTGCCACTAAATATACATGTTGTCAAATGAATGGGTTAATTGAAAGTGAACGAATGTTTATGTAACATGAGTGACTGGAGACACTGCTGCCCGATTTGACCGCCATGAAAAATCTGGATTGTGTTAGTGGTGAGTTCAAACTTCTGCTTTTGTTGATCAAAGAAAAGTCACATCTGACCTCCTCTAGTAGAGGTCAAACATCAGTACAGTAGAAAGTTAAAAAGGAAAAAAAAAGGGTGTAACAGAGACAAGGAAATGGTGATATAGAAAAGTACATTACTGTATTCACGATTGAAAGTGAATTTGTGTTAAACCTACTAATAAAGATCGAAATGAGTGCGTCAATCGGTACGGCCTGTAAACGTAGAAATGTTTAATTTAACCATAAGGAAGTATCTGTTATATCCTTCATTTCTCATGACTTCCTGTGCCAATTTTTTATTCGTCGGCAATTTTATTTGAAATAGCTATTGTCTGATTTCTTTTCCGTCTGTTCAATTTTCTTTTTCCCTTTCAGTCTAAACACCTAAAATCCAAGTTTTTTTCCCCCTCTCCAACCACAAATCACCCCTGTTTTCAACCATATTGGGAAATAACCTCAAACATGACATCATACCTACTGTGTGACATTACATGCTGTCCATTGTGGTTCTGGTGGCCATAAGGAAATCAAAATAATCACCACTATAATAAGGCATTCATTTCAGTTCAATCGAACATATTTAGCTTCAGTGTGATCATAGCCTGTGTGTATTTTCCACCCTCACCTTCTTGAGTAGCCGTGTGGAGTCCTCGCTGATCTGCATGAACCTCATGATGACATTGTTGAGGTAGATGTCGCTCAGTGTGGCGTGGTCCTTACTCTCCCTCCTCACCTGGTTCAGAAGCAGGTACCAACAGTTGACTGGGGACAGCAGGTTCTGGTCTTTCCTAAATAAACCAGGGAAACAGGCAGAAGTCAGATCAGTTGTCAAAGATTCATGAGGAAAAATGAAATCCTAACCTTGTGTCTCATTTACTAAATGTTACTAGTCATAATTAGAAAGAGAAAGTTGGTTGTGAAATAGTTGTGTAGGATGTTTTATGGCTCAGCATTTTCTTCGACACATTATTAAGTTAAATGTAGGGCATTAATAAACAAGAACACATGACTTAAAATCACCCCGTAGTTTGACAGTGTTGCAGAGACGAGCAAGCAGGCATGTACCTGTAAGTACCTGTGCACCATGTGTTTATGGTTTGCATTTCAGAGCATTTCAACATTTTCCTGCGTGGCTGTATCCAATGTCAATGTCACAGCCCTAATTCCTTTAGACGGTGTTTGTCATTTTCACGACGAGATTGTGGCAGGTCCTCGACTAGCAGGATGTCTACAAACACCTCAGTGCACCAGGACCCGTTATAGAAGCAGAAGAGAGATGCGTCATAGTCGTCCCTTGGTGTTAAATGTCCCATATACTGCTGGTTTGGGCCTAAAAAGCTCTCTATATATTACATGGACTGCGCAGTTAGGTTGGAAATACTTTGTATCAGTGACATTTCTGGGGCAGAACTCTTGCAATGCTCTGAGCCAAGCTGACTTCCTACAACCAGGGAAGAGTGTGTCACGGGCTTTAAATACACTTAGTGGAATGAAGTTGGAGAAGCCATCGATGTATTTTAAGTAAAGTTGAAAAGTAGAGTTGCATATGAACTGTGACAGCAGAAGACAGACCAGCAAGGAAGAGAGATTGCAGCAAAGGGGAAAGATAGAGATCTGAGTGCACAAAAAAAAAAGCTAAAGCGTAAAATAGTAGAGCCTGAGAGCTGTTTCCTGTGCTGTGTGCTGGCTGCTTCCAAGCTAACTGTAGGACATTGTCCAGGCCAGAGCAAGCTGGGGCCCTGCATAAGCACTGGCCTGCAGGCTGACTTCCTCTGGTTTAATCTATAACACTCCCCTTGCCTGCTACAAGCAGCACAGAATATGAGTGTGTGTGTGTTTGGGAAAGGTTTTGTGGTTGGGTCTGGGGTCAAGTCTTGCAGGAACCATATGGAGACTCGCCTCTGCTCTGCCCTCACAAAGCTAGTTTGCATAGACAGGCAGCACTTGTCAACACAACAGGTGAAACTCTGCACTCGGCAAGTGACCCAGCCCTGATCCAGCCTTCAGCCTGCACAACATCTGCTGCAAGAGCAAAAAACCAAGCATTTCTCCAAATGAATAACTGATACAAACATTCCAACCGGCTGAAATGTTCCCTGGGACTCTGCAAAAACAGGAAGCAAAATACATTTGATAAAGGCAGAGCCAAACATGCTGACGTGAAAAACATCCGACAGCATTCAACAGCACAGTCGTTTTTCAAAGACACCAGGAAAACTGTGAAAGAAAGAAAAAAATGATTTCACTAAAAGCTGTGTGATGTACCGGTGCCACATGCCCGGGCTGCAGGACACAGCACACGTGCAAAGGAAGAGAAAGCTAGAAAAAGAGAAAATAAGTGAAGCGGCCCCAGAGTTAAAGCAGCAGGACTGCTGGACAGCATCACACGCGGACACACTGTCAAAGAGCAATTACTATAAATCCTTTCTGCATTATGCATCAGCAGAGTGCAATACTTCCATTCTATGACACTGAATTTAGATTTGTGAAGACGGCACGTGGGTGTGTGTGTGTGTATGACTATTAATTCATGCTGACTTTTGCATGTGCAGTTGCATAATGTACAGGTGGCCACTGACATGAAGCTGGATGTAGTACATCATAGGCCCCTGCAGAGGTGTATGTCCCTCTGTCCATCTGTGACCATTGTGTCCCAGTTGTGGAAAAAATAAAGCTAATTTGATTGGAGATGCAAAAGTAGCTTATTGGCAGGATTAGCCTGGTAATTTGGGGTCTGGATTTGAATTCCCCGACATTCTCTGCTGCTTGATTCATCCCACCTCATTGCTCAAGAATAGCAGGATTCCTCTCACTGGGAAAAGTTTAACCTAATTCCGCATAACCTGTACATGCACAGGTCTTATAAAAATTCAGTATGTCAACAAAAGGCGCACTATTCTATCATGTCTGTATTTTTTTAATTAAAGGCTACATCAAACACAGAAATTACCAAAAATTCATTAAAATCAGTCAAAGAATAAAACCAATAAGAATAAAAGCAAAATTGAGTCACACAGAAGAGCTCGCAACATTACTCCGGGGGAAGTCGGTGAGTGTACCGATGAGTTCCCACGAACTCATCTACACTTTTTAAAGTGCCTTGTATGTTTGTCAATGGGCTGACCTACTAAATCAAACTGGAGGCCTGCCGTGAAAAGGACAGAACGAGAAAACAAGAGGGGTACTGACACAGGCTGTGACGACAAAATAACCTCTGGGAGTTGCTTACCCCACATAATGGCAGGAAAATCTCTCAATGTCATCGTTTCCCCCTCAGCCAGGGCAGGAATTGGGTCAGACAGACTCACAGAGAGATAGACGGGCCCCAAGTGGCTAAAACACAGGTATGAAAGGGGAAACTAATGTCCAGGAGAGGCAGGAAGGGAGATAAGTCAAAAAAATAACTCATTAGCAACTTGCTGCCTCCTATCGAAGCGTGTATATGTGCGTGTTCTGTCCATTCATGCAGCCTAAATCACTGAGTCAATGTCAACATGCTTGCATTCTGATACAGTATCAGGATGCTGATAATGAAGCACAGTTAGCAAATACGTATGCACTATGCAGCATTGAAACAGGAGCCCTTAAAAGCATCAAAGGCAAAATGGAAATGTCCAGTGCAGTACTGATAACATCTTTCATTAATTAACTGCGCCCTTTATAGCCGAATCACAGTGACTGTCATTCACCTGTTATGTATGGATACAACTGCTACTAAAGCAAAGTGATCACTGAAACTGAAATTTGGACAAAGTCTATCAGACCAGGATGCAAAAACCTAATTAATTATTCTGGTTCTGTGAATTCTCAAATGGTGTTAATTGCCAAATCTCAAATGAGAATGTTATAAACAATTTTCTCCTTTTTGCCACTCAAGCTGCATGCACTGCAGATATAAAAAATGTTATGCAGCTGCAGCATGTTCTACACCTTCTTTTCATCCTCACAGACAAAGAGAGGAAGTCCCTTAACGAGAAACTTAATTCTTGATAAAAGCCTTTTTTAAGATGATCCCAGATGTGGCTTTGGCATTCTAAATAATTCAATGATTCCTCTGCTCACCATCTCCATATCCCTCCCAGAACAAACATTACATAATACAGTATCTGGTTTGTGCATGTGTGTGCATTAGTGTGTGTTTAAGAAAGAGCAAGAGAGATATAAGAGAATGTTTGCCCATATTTGTTCGTGTGTGTGTGTCTGTGTGTGTTCTGCAAACAGCTACTGAGACACAAATGGACTAGGCAGACAGGACTGAATGGCTCTCCTACAGACTGTCGCTGTGGGCTGGACACTGGGATGTGGGTCTGTTGTTTTGATTTCTAACAGGAAGGAAAAAGGAAGACACTCATGCAACTACTTTTTCCTTATGGTCATTAATGGCCATTTAATGTCCAAACCACAGATGCATCTGATACAATCACTAGCGGTCACTGTCTTTTCTGCTGGAGAACTGCCTGACATCCTGGAAACTATAAGCTGGAAATGTTTTCAAGAACCCATTGTCAAACAGCTCACAGAGACATGTTTGCTGTTTTGACCAACATAATGCATCACATTGAACAGCATGTGTGCTGTAGAGTTTCCTAACTCGACTTTATAACACCTAGTTAAATACTTAGTTGTACTCTTTGCGGCTTTTTCCATTACTGTGCACTGCATTCACTTCTGGTGGCAATGAAGCTGAAAAAACTCACAGCAGAAACACACAAAGCTCTGTTCATATATATTTCTGGAGCAAACGAACAATGTTTTATATTGTGCAATTGTCATGCAGTGAAAAATGCCAATGATAAATGTAGGTTAATACATGTTACTTAAACGAAGGAGTGCCTTTGAATGTCTTTGCAGCTGTTTAAATGGGTCTTGGTAAATAAGTGGATATTTTCAGCATGTGTTTAGACTGGGTAGATAATCATATGCAAAAATGTCAATAAGAAAATAAATAAACCTTCTGCATTATTACCTCTTATGTCATATTTAACAATGTATCACTGTGAAAAAATAAGTTCTTACAATCATAAAAAACCTAGTAGAGCTAAACTCAGTAGTATTTATTTTTTTCAGGAGACCATCACTCTTGGCAGGAATCTGTTTGTTAATCTGATTAAAAAGGTGTTATAAATAAAAATAAGAATATCAATGTGAATATGAATCTCGACTGTGTCATGTTGAATGTGTATGTATATTTAAAAACATACATTTTTACTTTATATCCAGCCATCCTCCACTGCTTTCTTGCCACCACTTTAGTCAGACTCAGAAGTAAAGCTCGACACAGGGCACTTCCCCTGAAGCAAAATGGATTTCTCTCCAGCAGTGAGCTGCTGCAAAACTCCCACAGGTGGCACAAAGTCTTTGCTAACTTTATCTCACTCCTGTGGAGGATTCTGCACCAAACCCCTGATGTGCCAAAACTTTTTCCTCGCTCTAAAGAGCGTGAGCTAGAAGCAGATTTAAACCTGTAGAAGATACACATTGGAGCTGCAAGGCCAGTCTCCTATAGAGATACCTCCAGCTTGGTAATGAATACCAACAAACACAAATAACAATGTTTGCAGCTTGGTGATTATGTCTGTGTAGCTTCACTAGCAACATGGCCTGTACAACGTAACGTTAATGGGTTTTTTCACTTTCACAGCAGGGCCTTATCGGGAAAGGGAGTAAGAAATCGACTTGCCTATAGTCAATTTTTACTTGCCCTTACACAAATTGTTTTATTTTCTAGTGCTTATCTAATAACAACAACAAAGATCCCCTTAGCTGCCATGCAAGCAATATGCTGAGATGTGAGATGCAAAGTCCGCAATAGACAGTTGAGTGAGTTACATAAACTTTGTCTTTACCTGCAACCATTTTCTCACTAGTACCTGATTGGTACTGCACATGCTCTCAACAGAGATGAGATGAAAGTGAGATGGCTCACTCCTTAGCTACTTAGTCATGATCTCCGGAAACAAATATGTATTTAATTCTTTTTACTAGAGTTGTTAAGCCCGACATGGCATTGTACTTGCCACGAGCAGGCGGGCAATCCTTACCACTGAGCCCTGGGGTGGGGCCATGGAGGGATAACATCAAGCTGAGCATTCCAAATTTCAAAAGGAGAAAGGGGAGAAATTGTCTTCCAAACAAACTAAACATGTCACATATGTTAATGCACTCTTGTTAAAATGACACCTTATTAACTTGTCTCAACATCAGTTTTGTAAACCAGATTTATATATGCAGCTCCACTGACAGCCACAGCAGTGGCCCCCTTTTGAATGCAGCCTGTCTAGACTAATTACCCACAGATTTAGCTGCTCATTTTAATGTTACTGTAGCATTTGTGGCTCTGCCAAGCTGACCTGTCATATGAATAGTGGCTTAAGGCTACAGACAGAATAAAAAGGCACTTTTTCACACCCCAGACAAGTCTGTCCAATGAAAACAACCTAGAGAATATGGAGACACAAATGCCTTACTGTACGTGTGTTGTTTATGTGAATACAAAAATATAAGCCACATGATTTAAAACCCACAGTAAGTTTTTTAATGTTATTCAGACGTCTTGTATTTACTTATGAAATATGCTCCTAGGCACTTGCCAAATGTTTAACCTGTGAATGAAGTGACCAGACTGTACATCACACGATGAAAACCACAGAGCGCCATACCAGAGTCCCTTCGCCAGTTACACACAGAGGCACACACAGCTGCTAGAGTCATTGTAGCTTCAGACAGAGAGCAGGGGCTATTTGCGGATGGCGAGGACAAACATGTTTTATTTTCGTTCCCACCACAAGTTCAAACAATATGCTAATGTCTGCTTTTTCCAAGAGCAGGCTCCTACGGTGTAATAAGGCCAAAAACTACAGCACACTTAACTGTGTCAAGATCCTCAAAAAGGCTCTGAGTCAAACTGTGATGCAAAACCAAGATAGAGGGAGGGGTGAGGGAGGGAGGGAGACAGAGGGAGAAAGAAGAGACAGATAAGAGAGGAAACGTGACACACTTCATCTCAACAATTTGATGAAGAACGTAATTTCATTAGATTTTTTTATATGTACCTCCACAGCTAGGATAAGACCAAATTAAATGCACGTCGCAAAATAAAAAGGGTTTCATAGAACAATACTTATTTTCTTCAAACAAAGACTAAAACAAAGAAAAATGTTGCTTTTGTATCGGTTTAGAATTTTTTTTTTATATATAGATCCTTATATTTGTATTTCACATATTTAACACCTTTTCAGTCATGCCTGTGAGAAAGTTCAGTGGATTGCATACCACATTGTGTATATTAACAAAGTCAGAGAAAGCCTTTTCCCCCAGAGCAACTCTACCGCACTGTACAAAACTGTACAAAACTGTACAATATACAAACAGCACATAATATAAGATATAAGCTACATTAGTGTGACATGATGGGCTTAAGTCCCAATGTAAACGTTTCATACATGTGAAACAAAGACACATTTAATTTGTTGTGAATGGGGATTTTTTAAATAGCAAGCAATAGTTTGGATGGATGAATTTCTCATGCAGGAGAGGGAAAGATAGGACTAAGAAAAAGACGGAGGTCCAGCACTAGAATTTCAGGGGGACATGAAAAATAAATATGAGAATGATTGTAAGATAATTGACATAAATGAAAAGAAAGCATCACCACTGTGATGCTTCCTGTCTTCATTTGAAATGAAGATTGATATAGCTCATTAGCACAGCAATGCAATCCCTTTAGAGCATACAGATCCTTTCAACATTACATTGAAATCTATGATGACTTCTACTCCCAAGATAATAGTACTAAAAAATAAAGTAGACCAACAGACTAAGAATGAGTTATTCCTTATTCTCATGCCCATATATGAACCCAGATTAAATCATTAACAGGTTGAGCAGAGACAAACATTAAGACAGTGTCTCCTCACTTGTACTGCTGGTGGTCCTTGGTGCTGCGCGTCTTTGCCATGAAGCGTTCAGCCAGTTTCTCTAGGTTTCTGGAGTATTCCATCTCGATCTCTGCCTTCTTCCTGAAGAAGTCCTGGAGGTCCTGCAACAGCTGGACCCTCATCTCCGTCTGTTGGTCCAGACATTTCTGCTGCTCCACCAACTGGGCCCGAATCTCTGAGGAGACCAAGGAAGAGAACAAACAGATTAGGATGGAATCAGAGCCTGAAATGAGCAGTCACAGCGACAAGAACTCTAGGTTTACATGAGAAAGACAGTGTCTATCTTTACAGTAAGGTCTACTCTCTGTTGTTTCACAGTGGCATTTGTTTCACAAGGAAACCATCTTCGACCAAGCATGAGTACTGTCGTAAAAGACACCAGCACACAAAAATCAGAGTTTCATGTTATAGTTTGGCCAACTCACATAAACTAGCTTCAGATGATTACATTTGACTCTTAGCATCAGTTATATTTGCAACACTTTTTCACGTCTTAAAATCTTTAAAAACTATCAACTAAAGAATCAACATGGCGATTACAGTACAGGTTACAGTATAGCACATGATCACATTAGTAGTACAGAACAAACCGATGCAGTTTATTAACCTATAGTTTCGGTTCTTCTGAATGCTTGTAGAGATGTGAGATTGGCAAAACTGGTCTCAGGTGTTTCATTTAGGCTGAAAATAACTCCAGGATGAATGGAACCTGATTCCCATTACACCCCAGAGTTACAGCACAGAGCAGCCCCCCACCCCCAAACACACACACACACACCCTCATCAGTGTCTGTGACTGAAAACCCAAGCCACTTCAGAAAGCAGAGGAGCAACAGCAGGCCTCGCTAAAACAAGTTGTATGTGCAGGTAAATTACCCTCTGAGGTCCTCTCTGAGGATTCAAGCCTGTCAGAGCGGCCCTCATTTAAATTTAACATCCTCAACAGGACAACTGGGATCTCTCTCACACACACACACACACGCACACGCACACGCACACGCACACACGCACACACGCACACACGACACACACACACAAATTGTTTCCTCTGTGTGTCCTCCCTGGCCAGGGCCATGTATAATGGATTTCTCCTAATGGAAGGTAGCCTCGGCCAGACAACTTCAGCAGAGTAAACAGATTAATGAGGTGATTTAAAGCCACGCAGACACCAACAGAGACGGGCACAGAGTGATCCCTCATATTAAAAGGAAACAAACACTAAGGCTGCAACATGCCTGCGCAAATTATTTGTACAACTCACTGGACTGGGTGTCATTATAAAAGGTAACAGCTTGCAAGGTCTCACTGGCTGTTTCCTAGCACTATATATAAAGATAGAAAATAACAATAATAAGATCAGCTGAACAGGACACAGATAATTGTTTCAGGGCAAATTTTAATGTGCATCATATTGTCCCCACTTAATGTGGCAATGACAATTTAAACACTAATATATTTAAATAAAGTACTCAACAAGCAACAAGCACATCACAAATAGCTACTTCTGATCTGGTTGAGTTTGATATGTAATTCTCAGGTCATAAAAGGTGCTTAAACCATTGCTTATGAAGCCATTCTTGGTTAGGTTTAGCTGTGTGGCACTGTCATCCTGGAATATAGGAACACTGTGGCAAAATAGTGTCTGCACCAGAACATATTCTGTCTTTTAATCATATTACCTGTTATTTATAACAAAAATTGGGAGAGGGAGCTGCCAGTGAAAGTCCAAAAACGTAAATGGACAAGATGAATTGATTTGGATGCTACATGAAGACTTTAGTGATCTGTTATTTCAGCAGCTACTGATTTGACCCTCGAGAGTTGGATTTCTGGGGGGGGGGCAGAAGGGCTTGTGCAGATAGAGTCAGATAAAAACACTGTTCAGGGTGTGATGAAAATGGAATGTCACAGGGATAGAGAAATATTTCACAACAAATACACGAAAACAACATTTTGCCTGATATTCTATAACTTTAGTCAGTACAGATTGAATTTATATAACAGAAAACGTACTGTGCACTCTTAGACACACAGTACTGTATTCTGTAGAACTAATGAATTATAAATCTGTGTCAATCTGATCCCAGCTGTCTGGATCACTAGCTGATCAGCCACCATGATCTTTCCACTGTGAGATATGCAGCACTGTTAGGCGTCTTTACTTCCAAGTTAATGTCAGCAAGTTTCAATTTGTTTCGTTGGTTTCTTGCGGGAATACAAATGGTGATCGGAACACTACAGATTATGTCATTGTCTAAAATATAGACATATTTTGTACATGTTGCAACTTACTGTATGTGATCTGCTTGTGTAACAGTGATTTACTGTAGTTACTGCAACATTAAAAAAAACTTTTTCTATGTGCAGTTGCTCTTCTACATTGTATGCCTCCCTCTTTGTGGGAATATCACTTACTGACTGTAAATATCTGTTTATTTCCATGAGAAACTCAGCTGTTGTAGTCAACACCCTTGAACTAGAGACTAAACTAAACCAGAACTAGGAGAATTGAAACAGTTAAAACATATGCTTGGCCAAGGGTATGAATATGGCCAACCTGCAGCTCAATGAATTTTCTCATTAATATGGAAGTAAAGTGGACTCAAACAGAGATAAGTATTTGACAAGACAATCAGACAATAAATGCTGTTGTAAGAAAAGCCAAAAGATCCCTAAGAGCCTTTATGGCATACCATCAATAGTTCAGTACATCAAGTTACTTAAAATGGCCAATCAACTGCTGACTCAATCAGATTCCAGTCAAAGAGGAGAGCAGCATTGGTGTGTATGTGTAAGCGTGTATGGGCACGTGTCCTTAATGCAGTAATCAAATTACCAACAGGCTCCGCTCCATTCATCAGCATTAAATCTTCTCACAATCGCGATAAATTAAGGACTTACATTGGGTCTATCAGAAACTGTTGATTATTTTTTGCATTTTCAAGTAGCAGCTCCTTCCTCCTGGCACTCACAAGGAAATAAACCACTTAGATAGAGACAGACCGGACACAAGGGAGGCATTTCAGCAATACTAAATCTGAATGAATGCTTATCACAGCAGTTACTCAACCTCAGTGAACCACGACCATCATTAATGTGGACAATGGGATTTCAACAGCAATGCAGAGGCTTGATTGCAATCACAAACTCAAAACTTCAGCATCAAGAATATCAGGCCATTGACAAAACTGGGAGACCACCAATGAGCACTATGATGGAGGTTGGTTTTAAATGTGACTGCATTAAAGTCCACCAGGCCTTTTTGATGAATGGGTAAACCTTGCAATTGCTTCCATCTCCAGAGGATGTGGGGATTAAAACAAAGCTACCATGGCACTGACACAAAGGAGCGTACTGGATCATTTAACACAATTACATTCATGACTGCACATGGAAACTCATTAAATCATTCATTTTCTGAGTCAAACATTGGCCACTGAAGCTGTAGTACCAAGTTGAAGTATAGAGGAATTAATGTTAAAAGCGACCACCTGTCAGAGGAAATTACAGTTTTGTCACTTCCTGAAACTAGGACGTGTTCTGAAAACTCACTTTTAAGTTGAAGAAAATTCAGCTGTGACAACAGAGTCAAACTAGGGACATAACCAGTAAGGCAGATACATGTGTGGAAATGTGCATCGAAACAGAGAAGAAAATAAACTTAAATGTTGTACACGTACACATAAACCATGCAAAACATCTCCCAATGACCCCTGTGTACTTTTGCTTAGGTGTACCCAGGAGAAGCGTGTTTCAGCCCTAACTGAGGGAAGTCAGTCTCACCTCTCAACAACATGGCTGTAATGCACAAAATGGCTGTAATGCACACAATTATTGTTTGCCTGCCAAAACACAGTAAAATAATTCAAATCCAAAGACATTTTCACATGTGAAAGCGCTCTTGGGTCTATTCATCTTAGTGTGGACAGTCTGACAATTACTGCACGAGAAGTTCTCTAATCCCACAGGCAAACATTTCAAATGAATAACTAAGTCCTTTTAGTGTTTGAGGACAGCCAAACGGTTGCCTTTGATCATACCGACACTTCGTATGAACCGCAGGCAATAGGGTTGGGCTATGTTAAAAAATTTTAACTGGCCACCGCCAGTCCAACCACCGGTGATTGCCAATATATTCACACATGCATGTGTGCTGCACCAAGAAAGGAAAGAAAATACATAAAATACCTATTTTCTTAATTACACAGAAAGATACGAATGTACACTATTTGAATTCAAGTTTCTCTCCTTTTAGCAAACTTGTTACTGTAAAATAGCTGCAATAACGCCTTAATTCACCCCAGATAGATGTAACAATATTCTGGCTCTACAGCCTTTTTTCCTCTCACTCGTTCTTCATCTCAGTATGTGTACTGCACCACTGAGCAGCGTCTCTTGTTCTTCAGAGGCAGACCATTAAATTAACCATTAAATAAAATGAAAAAATAAAAATCAGCCAACAAAACCAAAAACAACTGGCAATGGACTCAGCCAGTCACAGATAGCCGTTATATTCGTCCAATCACTCAACCCTAGCAGGCAACAGATGTATGACTGGTTTCCTATGAAACTAACACGACCAGCAAACTGGCACACATGACATCTCGACTTCTTTAAAAATCTAATCATAGTAACCCAAAGTTTTTCTCAAGTTAGATCTGTCATAGTGAGTGTTCCTCTATTATTACATGGTGCATTCCTGTCGTTCTGAGGTCATCAGTATGGTAAACACGTGGAGTGTTCTGTGCCGAGGGATTCGGGTGTGGGGAGGGTGTGAAGGGGGGGGAGGCATCAAAGCCCTCTGTGATCCCTTTCAAACTGGGAAGCTAAGTGGAAATGAGAGCACCTGTGCACTGTGTTGAGAAATGACACTACAGGATACAGAAAGAAACAACAGTGTAATGTTGCAGAGAGATAATAACTGACTGTCACTCAATTTCTCTCTCCGAATCTATCGAGCAGGCAAACAATCTGCCAAGCCCTGCACGTTTTTATAACCATATTCAGGTACATGTTGACATGAGTGGATAGCGGCTTGCCGAATTAAAGCAATGCCTATAAAGTTGTCAGCAACAATTCCAGCTGACTGATGGACATCCAGTCAATGTGGCCCAGAATGCACATGATGTCGATATAGACAATGAGAGAGCACTGTTTGGTCTTTGTGGTGATCAG